GTATATATAGTGCAGTGGGTTTTTAGAACCATAAAACACTTGTTGGGTGTTAACAAATAGGTAAACGCAATAAATAAAATTAAAAAAGAGAAACTGTAACACTGTAAACTGTAGCTGGTGTTTACTTGAATATAGCCCCAGATATTATGAAGAGACTGTTGTAAAAAATTCTAACAAATTTAAGGTATTCTTCAGCATTGAGTGCTTGTTCATTCAACATTGAAAAGCCTTGAATGAGTATTATTTTTCCATTGAAAATAACAAACAACGCATCAGTGATAACGATAAGAATAAAATCAGTTTCAGAAAACCGACAATTTTTACGTAATATCCAAGAGAGGTATACCAACCCATGGACCCAACCACATTTTGGGTAACAATAGCTCTCCCTGAACAGGTTTTTTTCTGTTTGGTGTTTATCTTTCTATTTATCGTAATTATTTACTTGTAAGGTCGTTTCATAATGTGGTTAAGATGGCGAAACGCACTGTATCCGCATCATTGAAACATTGTATCTTTAGCTCTGGCTTCTCTGACACTTACCTTCCTTCAGAAAAGTTTTTACTCTTTAGCTCTTGTTAGCCATGAAAGCGTAAATAAGTGAATTTCATAAAAAGTGGGCAGTTGCGGAGTAAGAGAGGCCCTTCGCTGCCCTCGGTTCATTCAGCTAGTTGCTCTCCAGTCATGACTTTCTTGGGCCCAATTGTTAAAAGTTTCTTTTTGTTGTAATTTCCATTTTGCCAGCTCATGGTAAATACTATATTTCATTTTTGTTGTAAGCCACAAGTCGGACTCTGGCTGTCAGAGTTTATTGTGTTAATGGCCGATTTCGTGCTGACGACGACGACGCAACCGACTTTAATTGCACACATTTGCAACATGCTCCAAAAACACGGGGACTTCGGGATTCGGGAGATAGAGAGGTGAATAATATCCGAGAAGAAACAACCGAAAATAATTGTAGAAACGAAACAAAGCACCCAGAAAAAAACATCGACGATTAAAGACAGAAAAGCGAAAAAATAAAAAAACACACTTTGCCAGCCGCCCATAGATTTCACTTTTTTATGGTTTACTTTTACGTTTCGTTGGCGTTTCGCCCATAAAACAATTCAATGCCAACTTCAAATGAGTTTATAACAGGCACACAAAGCAAGCACCAAGATATTGGACATATATATCCGATTGAAAACAGGAAATATCGAAGGAAAAATGCCTAGAATGCGAGTTTGGGTTTTAGATTTTGAACTTTCAGTACTGCTCAAGATCCATGAAAATAATATATTTTCAGCACTGGGAAGACCCCAAAATGAAATCCGCATACGAATCTGAACCATGTGCTCAATAATGCTGATCAACTGGCAGGCAGGCAGGCAGGCACTAACAGACACGATTCAGAGCCCGCACCCACTATTTCTTGCTATTTATTGTACATCGTTACGTATGTATATAGTCATTGATCGGCAAACATTTATAATCAAGCATTCAGAGGCTAGCGAAAAAAAAAAGAAATATACAAATAATGTTTTCTTTATCGCCTGTACAATGCTTCCTATATATGAATGTGGACGAGTTTAGATGGGAATATACCTATACCTATTTGGTATTTATGCAAGCAAATTAAATATGCGGATAGTGATGTAACGCTATTGGTTTTGTGCCCACAGATCGAGTGGCCGCTATATCTGATAATCAATTACAGACGCCTGTGGCGCGTGCCGCCTTCCTTTTTGCAGGGGGAACGGCGCCCCCAGCCAGTTCCCAATTCCCAGTTCCATTGACTGCGGATCCGATCGCGTTTTTTGGGTTTCGAGGCAGCCGCCAGTAGTAGTCGCCTCTTTCCCAGCCTCCATTGTCTCGGTTTCACTGCGCTTTTTGTTTGTGTTCGCCGCGTCATTGTCGGTTTCGTTTTTATGAAAATTTATATGCACAGACGAGTGAAAAACAATTGCATTCACTGCACACCCTAACTAGCAACCAAGAATTGCATTATGATTGAGTTTTTTAAGGCTGCTTGGTCTTGGTTAAAAAGGAAATACGCTATTGCGATAATTGGAATAAGTTTCTAGAACTTGTCTTCGGCAACTAGTAATTAACTACAAGCATGATTTACTAAGCTTTATAGACATTGTGAAATTAACAGGCGGGGTGATATCATAGGGCTCCGAAAATACAACAAACATGGCGTATTAACGTCTTAGTAATTTTAGATCTTTCAAAGGTGCTCTAAAATAAATCTAGAAATATAACGAAATAGCCTTTAAGTTTGCATTAGTCGTATAAACTTATTAGCATTTGCTGCAATAAAATGCAGCGGCCATGGTTGACACACCACAAACTGGCAATGCTTTTGCGACATCTGGCAACTCCATTGCCTGACCGTTACTGGTTCTGTTTATTTTTAAATTGCAACAAAAGAGACCTCGACGTGAGATTCTCACTTTGCAGGAGAAAGAAAGTTGACACAATCACAAAGGCGACACGAGACGAGAAAAGAAACGCAAAGAAAGAGGAGACCAGGAAGCAACGTTGTGTGCAGTCAATGAATGAAAAAGAAGAGCAGAAGAAGCAGACGAAAGAGTTGCACAAAAAAAATTAAACACAAAAATAAAATAAAAGACGTGTAAGAAACACAGAAACTCTATATGCCTGTGGATTTTCCGTTTCGTTTGGGGGGCATTTTCCACCACCAAGAAAATAAGGAAAACTTATTCGTGCCGTTATTTATGAGCGGCAGATGCGGAGAGAAGTGTGTTAATTAACCAAAGCACAGTAGAGAGAAAGAGCAGCTAACTAACAAGGCATCCGGAAAGTAAACCAAGAAAAACGTATTACCATTTTTACTTTGATCATGCCAATTGGCATTTTCGAATGCATTTGGAGCGTAATAAATCAAGCAGCTTCGTTTTTTTATACATCTTGCATTATTTATTGACGAAATGGAGGAAATTGATTATTTAAATCACTCACACTATTTCTTTCAACTAAATCAAACGAACTAACGAACTCAATTTCAAATATTTGTAATGTTTTAAAATGCTAGCTTTTGCCATTAATAGATACAAGCTCTATATAGAATATATTATTTATCAATAGCAAAACAAATAAAAACGATTGTCGCAAAGGAACAATTAATCGATAGCCAACTGGGTCCCCTTTGATCACCTGTCTATAAACGTGATGTGGCGACGGCAAATCCAAATCCCCACTGGCTCCACTCGGCGAAATCTTATCTAATCAGACTGCCAGATACACAGATACTCGTCCAAGCCGTTGTCGTCGTCTTACCGGCAATCAAGGCGGCGCACTCGAATAGAAAACATAAACATTGAAGAGCGGCCCTTCAGCCCCTCAGACCAGACCATCTGTTTGCCATTTGATTCGATTCCCAATGGGAAACACAGAAGCCGAGTCTCGACACTGACCTCCGCCAGGTAAGCGAGGTCGAGTAAACACACACTTCGTAGTGCCATAAAGCCATATAGAGCCATATGCAGTGTTTGCCTTTGATTTAATGGATTTGCGTGTAAATTGCTTCTAATTCAATTTTTTCCTACTCTCGGAGCACCTCCATAGAAATCCGGCGACGGCCATCAAAATGTCAGACGGATTGACAGATTGACTAGCGATCGGGAGGAAAATTGGATGGAGCAGCGCTGGCATGAATGTCGGGAAAATAGTCGGAAAGTCGCTCCATCGACGTTTTATTTTTGGAGGCAAACCCTAACGTGTGTGTATATGTACATACAAAATAAATGTTATATATATATTCCAGACACCCGAAAGCAACAAGAGGGCGCTAAATATAGATACGGTCGAAATTCGGTATCACGAACCATCGTCTTCCCCAATGAAATTCTATTTACGACAGACTTTGGGGGTAATGTTTGATACATTTCTCACAAACTGGCATTGATTTAATATTTCGATTGCTGCTCTGACTTAATTACTTGAAAAAAGAACGATAAATCCTCCAATTTAACGATTTGCAATAAATCATTGCACTTGAGTTTACACTCTACAATCGCGATTAAAACTAAAGGCAAACTAAATTTATTACAAACGAAGTGGGCACAGAAAAAAGTGGTTTACATTTGCAATATTATAATATTTTGTACTTATGAATATTGATTTATTAAACAGTATATTTAAAATATTGAAATTCTTTTTGGAAAGCAAAGTAAAGGCACACAATGGGCTCAGAAGCGTTTAAGAGCTTGCGATGACGCATAAATTTCCAACTGGTTCGAGCTGCAAATTAATGATGCTTCTCAGAGTACCCTAAAACAGCTTTATTTTTCATTGTCCTTCATGAAGATACAAAACTCTAGCTGTTTCAATGAAAGTCATGCTAGGGCCCAACAATATCAATGCACTGACTATTTCCCTGGAGCTTTCTGACATTGTTTTCAGTGCTGCTGTTCCCTGGGTGATTTTCCACTGCCGGACGGACAAGGGGTTTTCCCCCCTTCAAGAACAGATCCCAAATTACTAGACGTAGATACATAAATTAGTTAAGTTGGCTGCTTGTAATTTGCAACACGAACGGACTGGCGCCATATTTGTTTTTGTTGCTGCCGTGTGTTTGTGTGAGTTTCCAATTTGAATTGAGAGTGCAGTTACACATGCTGCTAGCAGTGTGTGTGTTGTTGCTGCAACGTCAGCGAATTAATCATCGGAAATAAAATGCGGTTAAAACCAAGCGAGATGGCGATAGACAGCGCCAGTGGGTGCAACGCGAGGGAGCCACGGGCAGGGGAACTATAATGAGCCAGGGCCAAAGCAAACGCTGACGTCACATCGAACAGTTAACACACTGGCAGCAGCAACACCAACACCAGCACAGTGCTGCTTTGACACCATTCGCACTGTTGCTCTTAATTAATTGCAGCTCTCTTCGTGTGTGCCTATTGTAGTGCTCATTGGTGTTGTTGTTGGGTGATAAGAACAACTACAATGTGGGTTATCAACGGCTAAGTGCAAAACAACAACAACTGTACCTTGGGTTTGTTCAGCCATTTGCGAAACGTGTCCATCGTCGGAGAGTGTTTTTTAGCTCCACAGTTGTTGATTCTCTCTCCTGCGGACTCCTCTTCTCTCTTGTCCTTGCGCTCTCACGCGCGCACACACACACAAGCACTCGCTACGCACACCAAAACACACACACGCGCGCGTGCGAGCCAAACAAAACAAAGAAACACAAAGCAATATGTTTGGCGACGATTGCTTTTCTGCGACGCGACTAAATGCACATTACTGATCTTAACACTTTTGTGAATTCCGTTTGAAAACGCCTCTCTCTTTGTGAGTCTCCGCTTTGCCGTTTTTTCTTTTTTGCCTTTGCTTTACTTTTCACACTGCTTCTCGTGCACCTCACACGCGTGACGTAGCGGGCCTCATCACTGGACCTGCATTTCCCAGGCGGAAACTGCGTCGGTATTTGTGTTAAAATCCTGCGTCGGTCGAAAGCGGAAGCTGGCTCCACAACTGGGGCGAATTAAAAGCATTAAACGCGCGCAGCACTCATCCGCCCTTCGCGATTCCGTCGACAGCGGAGCGTCCGTGCTTTCGTCTCGAATTTTTTTTTTTAATAAAATGGGACCGCACCTGGTTGTGGAAATATGGCCGCAACTAAACGTAAAATTAAAAATACCAGAAATGGCATTTCCGCTCTCGCGGCTTCTGGGCACACTAAGGCGCTGATTACGTTTATTCTTAGTGTGACCAAGGTTTTGTTGGCTTACGTAGTGCGGGACACGTTAACGCGACTGGCGAATCTTGGTATAAAATCAGAAAAAGAGGCAGTCACACAGACACAATTTTAAAAAACTCGAAGTCGGTCGCGTCCACAAAGCTTATTCCTGGAAAAAAACGTCGGTTCGCGGTACACGAATTAAAGTTAAACAACAACAATAAGAATTAACCCTTAGCAACTGGGCGAATATCAAGAAAATAAACGTCAACGCAAAGCAATTCTAGGAAGGAACAATGTTGTCACGACCGAGGTAAGCTTTTCCTGGCCAGGCGCAGGATGTGTGTGCGCGTGTGTGTGTTCGCGGTAGTTATGCAATATTTCGGAGGAGGAACTGCCCCAGCTGGTAGCCCAGTGACCTAGTCACTCGGATCAGACGAATCGCCGCCAAGGCGCGGTGTGTGTATTTGTAGCCACCCTCTTTTACTCGTTCTCCGTTTTGCGCAGCTTTCGTTTTCACTGTCACGCAAAATACAAACAAACTACGCACAGGGATTCCCTGGGCGGGCGGGCGAGACGTGGGGAACGGATTTCGCACATGGCCTAACATTGACCCTTCCCTGGCGCCCCCCCCTCACTCCCACCGCTTGCTTGCAGTTTTGCTCGCCCAACAGCTGTTCCCAAAAAACCGTTCACTTTCGTCGAATTGCATAAGCGATTCCTAATTAGAATTTACCTTATTTTATTTTCGGGGCTGCCAAAACATTAGACAGCTGAAAAAATCAATAGAATACAGAGGCAGAAAACAGATGTTTAGATTCGAAGGAACTTGCATGTTGTCAGGGCGAGGAGATACCCTATAACAAGCTCTAAAGTCCTTAGATCCAGGAACTAGATAAAGATTTCCTTGCTGTTGTAAACAAATTACAAAAGGGTTTTCTAAAAAATAAGAAAATTAAAAATAAGTATCCCTCTTAATAATAAATGAAATACCATAATATTCCATTATTGAGATCTTGCAAATTCGTCATTTAAAAACAAAGAAATACCCATTATTAAGTATAATTTTCCTTGCGGCTTAGCCAAAAACACAATACCTTCACGTCCATGGACATATAGACGTAGTATATTCGAATAATGGTCTCGCAAAATTCTAAATATAGTGTGTATACCGAAAAAATGTATGTTTTGCTTCGCTCTGTAAGCATTTTTTCGTTGCCAAGTTCATCAAAAAAATTCTGTTCTTCGCCCCCTCTCTCCCAGGCGAACCGTTAGCCAGCGAATACTCGAAAAAAGTAAATAAAAAATTCATTTAACAAAAAAATAAAAGTTTGTTGAACTTTTGCTTAGCTTTTGCTTCGGCTTTAGTTGGTGGAAATGTTCTTAGGGCTTTGGCGGGGGCCCTAAAAATAATTAATGGTAGTCCCGCCGCTATCTTACATATAAATATCACTCGAAAGCATTTACGACACGCACTTATTCCGTGTAGTTTTCGGCCAGAGATATGCGAAATTGAAATTGTTTAGCACTTGACGCCGCGCGGCTCATGTGAGTGGCATTCAAACAGTTGAGCGAAAAAATTGACGAATGATAGTCGTCCGGTGGTGTTACCTAAACGATAATTATCAGCCTGAAGTGGTTACAGGGGCGCCGGAAGGGGTGTCGTCATGCGGTTCTCCTCTTCGCGCACGTCATTAACCGGTTTCAACCCGTCCAGAATCGCCACAGATCCGATACCATATTACCATGCCATGCCAAACCCCTCGCCGAGCATGATTTCATCAATGAACCGCAAACAAAATTAGTCACACGCCTCCCTTTCTGCTATATGCCTCCATCGTAATTAGCACCATCTACATCTAATGGAATTGAAAGCTAGCGAAAAAATATACACTGGTCGTGTAACAGCGGTGGTCAGGTTAATAGGACTTTATCTAATTTAATTATGGATGGGCGCAGATCAGCTCACAGAAACCTCTAAAAAGTCTATTTACTTATATATTTTATTTAAAATGTTGTAAGTTTCTATCTTGAAGTTATATGTATATTTATTACCTTTAAGTTTAATATTTTAAATAGTAAAAATGATAAAAACAAAAACTAAACATACACATCATTGGCCAGAAAAACAGCGTTTTATTTATGACCCTAAAAAAAACAACCTTTTACATAATAATAACTTGAGAGAATGAGTTGATTTCTTTATCTTACGAATAGTAACACTTGATTTCAATTAGCTCATGATCTGATATAATTTACAAGTGTGTAATCTAATCTTTCCAGATCACTTACAAGAATCCAATAACAAGCTCGAGCTCAATAATTAAACTCAAGTATTTGTTGTGTATTTTATTAATTCAATAAAAATTAACACTTCAAAAAGAATCATGTAACAGGGAAGTTGCTAGCTATAATAAAAACAAAGAATACCCTTCAATTGCTATATTTAAAAAATTATTATTTACGAGGAAGGCAGTCAGAAAACCTTATCGATGTAAGGACTTTTAAATCATTTGATTGTATACTTAAGACAGAAACTTACCTAAATTATTAACATTTGCTTAAGGTTTTTAATGATTTTGGAAAGTATTTACTATATACATTTAAATATATATTATAATTTTTCAAAAATAAACAAAGTAATATGAATTAATTGCTAATGTGATGATCATAGCAGTGTGTAGATTTTTATCACGATGTTGTCGCCAGGGGCCAGCCCATCCATCCATCCCTCCCCTTATCTCTGGGGGACAGCTGTAAACAATGCGGCTTAGTTTCTTCCTCCTTTTCCGTATTCTGGCGTGCCCCACGCGGTGATAAACAAAAAGCAGCTGACGGCGACCTTGGACATGGCTTTTCGTTCCATAGAAGTGCGTCTGATGGGGACATGTAATGTCAAGAGCGTCCGAGGGGATTGCTCCAATTGCTCTCCGCTGATAAATGACACACACACGTAATGCACTTTTCCTATTATTATTTATATAATTTTGTTGTTTGCAGTTTGTGCGGAACTGTGGGCAAACTATGCCGCTGCAGCGCCTCAGCCACAGCCACAGCAGCGGGCGCCACATCAGCAACAGTGCCGGCCACACGGCGGTACCATGAGGTGGTGGGTGACATTATTACACCGTCGCAGGTGCGCGGCATCGATCACATTCGCGATCCTCGTTTGAATAAGGTAAGAAAGAGGTGGATACTAAATAATACTAAATATAATGGAACTGATAAACTGATAATGAAATAAATGCAAATAATTTCTCTATGACTAATATTAAGTGAATTTGTGTTGGCCTTTCTTATCATTTCCCTTTTCAAAATATCAATATGTAAAAGGGAAATCCCAAAACAAGCTTAATTCTTAACTCTAAAATTAATTGAATATATTCATTTAATTTAAAATTTAATTAATAATTTAATTTATTTATTTAATTTATCAATTTGTCTCGGTATTTATAACCCTTTCTTTCCCTCTTCAGGGCCTGGCCTTTACCCTCGAGGAGCGACAGACTCTGGGCATTCATGGCCTGCAGCCTGCCCGCTTCAAGACGCAGGAGGAGCAGCTACAGCTGTGCAAGATCGCCGTGAATCGCTACACGGAGCCGCTGAACAAGTACCTGTACCTGAGCGATCTGTACGACCGGAATGAGCGTTTGTTCTTCCGTTTCCTCTCCGAGAACATTGAGGATTTGATGCCAATTGTGTACACGCCCACGGTGGGTTTGGCCTGCCAGCGCTTTGGCCTGATCTACAGGCGTCCGCATGGTCTCTTCGTGACGTACAACGATCGCGGGCACATCTTCGATGTGATGAAGAACTGGCCGGAGCCGAATGTCCGCGCCATCTGCGTGACGGATGGCGAGCGCATCCTGGGACTGGGCGATCTGGGTGCCTGTGGCATGGGCATTCCCGTGGGCAAGCTGGCCTTGTACACGGCTCTGGCTGGTATAAAGCCCCACCAGTGCCTGCCCATTGTGGTGGATGTGGGCACCAACAACATCGATCTGCTGGAGGATCCTCTGTACGTGGGACTGCGCCAGAAGCGAGTGGTTGGCCGGGAGTACGACGACTTCATCGACGAGTTCATGGAAGCCGTGGTGCGGCGATATGGCCAGAACACGCTCATTCAGTTCGAGGACTTTGGCAACCACAATGCATTTAGGTTCCTGGACAAGTACCGCAACACGTATTGCACCTTCAACGACGACATCCAGGGAACCGCCGCCGTAGCTGTGGCTGGACTGTATGCCTCCAAGCGGATTACGGGCAAGTCCTTCAAGGATTACACCTTCCTGTTCGCCGGAGCTGGTGAGGCGGCCATCGGCATTGCCGATCTCACGGTCAAGGCCATGGTCCAGGAGGGTGTGCCCATTGAGGAGGCATACAACCGCATCTACATGGTGGATATTGACGGTCTGCTGACCAAGTCCCGTAAGGTGGGCAACCTGGAGGGCCACAAGGTCAACTACGCCAAGGACGTAGCGCCCATGACGGATCTCGCCGAGATTGTGTCCACCATTAAGCCGAGTGTGAGTGTCTTGAATAGAAAGTGTTTTTATTTGTTAAATATTTAATAATCGACACCTTCCTACAGGTGCTCATTGGTGCTTCGGCCGCTGCCGGCATCTTTACTCCAGAGATCCTGCGCACGATGGGTGATAACAACGAGAGGCCCGTGGTCTTTGCTTTGTCCAATCCCACCAGCAAGGCAGAGTGCACCGCCGAGGATGCCTACAAGCACACAGATGTGAGAAAACCGAGTTGTCTCTTCGCCATATTCCCATTTCATCCACTTCTTCACCCTTCTAGGCTCGCGTGATCTTCTCGTCGGGCTCTCCGTTCCCACCGGTCACAATGGGCGATAAGACCTACTATCCCGGTCAGGGCAACAATGCCTACATCTTTCCGGGCGTCGGCTTGGGCGTGATCTGCACGGGCACGCATCACATACCCGACGAAATGTTCCTCATTGCCGCCCAGGAGCTGGCCAACTTTGTGGAGCCCAGCGACATTGAGCGCGGATCGCTGTACCCGCCCCTGTCTAGCATCCGGGATGTGTCCATGAACATTGCCATTGGCGTGACCAAGTGCGCCTACGATAGAGGTAGCGTAGCTAATATCGGAGTCGCCCTCTTTTTTGAATTAAAAATGTGATAATAATAATAATATTTGAATTAAGGCCTGGCATCCACCTACCCGGAACCGCAGGACAAGCGCAAGTGGCTGGAAATGCAGCTGTACAACTTCAACTACGAGACCTCGATGCCGGCGACCTGGGTCTGGCCGCGGATGCCCTACATTAAGACTCGTGAATTAGTGCCCACGGATCTCTACGGAAAGCAAAGTGATATATAATTATTTTTCTCTATTTCTTATTCTAGGCGAAGAAAGCCCGCTCATTGCCGCCATCAAATAAAAGCATTCAAGATTGATGGCACGCCACCAACCACCACTCTGTTTTGCATCCAATAACCCACTCTACTACTTCCAAAGCGTACACCATCAGCACCAAGCAACCACCAAGCAACAACCGACTAACCCAGCCTACTTTAGACTAGAAAGAAATTTCAAGTGCTCACTCTGTTCTATAAATGTTTTCGCGAGACCCATTGGCTCCTTTTGCTGGTGCACTGGTCCCAGCTCCCGGCCACTCCCTACGAATTGTTAAAATACTGGACTCTGTGGAGTGGAGGGGAGCTGCTGGCGGCAGGCCAAGGGAGCCCAGGGAGTAGCTCCTAAGTGTATTTCTCAAATTGTTTATAGTTAATGTATTTATGAAGTGTGTTTTGATATTTGTATAAAATTACCATGTTTATTAATTATTTGTGATACCAACCGATATGACGACGACTGTGACAATGACGCTGACTATTACAACTAAGCCTCTGAGAAAGCAATTACGCAGTATTCTATCCTGTATCTGTATTAACTCTGTGCTACGTTTTTGGTTTGCTGTTTTCTTAACCATTATATTGGCTTTACCTCTCCGCTTGCTCTTTAACATGACATCCTGCATCCTGGCTTTTGATATGAACCTGCTCCTACGCCCTAAACTACTAACTCTGGCGGCGGCATCAACGAGCTATAAAAAAAAAATCACTGCTTAAACTCACTCCTCACCCCCCAAGAAAATTCGACAATTGATTGATTTATCTATGCCATGTTTCCCTCTTTCGTTGCCATACAGAGAAAAAAGAAGAAATTATGTAAATTAGCCAACCCCCCGACCGCAGAAGCTATTAACTGCTACCGAGAACTGGTGAGAGCAACCCAACCAACCAAGCAACCAACAAACAATTGATTCCACATGTAAAACAACTTAATTCGCTGCCGTTAACCTCCGACCATCCATTACAACTATGATTTCTCTGTCGTTTTAAGACTCCCTATATCCCCAGAGATATATCCGAGTGACTTTAATTATGTTTGTTGTTGAGCCTGTCTGATATTTATTAGCGCAAGCAGCTTTGTTATAATTTATTGTTACCAAGGTCAAGTTCTAAATGTATCTATAACTACATATAAAAACCCCCTTGCCCCCTGATCGATCGGACCGATTCAGCCATTGTACCACTGACTAGATGATGATGTGCGATAAACAATAAAATGAAAAGTACACACATGTTGAAGCAAAAATATTTCATACTGGAATCCTTTGCAACAAGTATTTGTCTACAGGTGCGACTCTTCTTTGTTCGACTTGGTAAAGAGAGCAGAGAGAAGTTGTATTTAGCAGAAGTAGAGGGGCTTCGACAGAGCTCTTTCAGCTCATGTTTCTGTTTATTTGAATTGTTTGTTAAAGGAAAAGACTAATTTGTAGTTCAGAAAAGTAGGAATCTCAATACAAAATTAATTTGTTCATATTTCCGTTTTGTTTCTTTTATAAATCATAATTTTGTGTGTTTTTATTTGGGCTTCCCAGTTTCAGAGAGAGGAAGGACTATCTGATCTATCACATCGCGATCTCTATGTGCTGCGTGGCCAGTTTGGGCGATTGCTAAATAATATTTGTATTTTCCCATAAATTGTTATATATTATGGTTCGCTCTCTATACAAATTAAAAGGCCTGAGACGGCTCAGCTTTGATTTAATCTCGATTTCGCTCTCACAATCCGAGTTCCGGGGGAGGTGAGGAAATACACTTAAAACCCGATTGCTCGTCGCGCCATCTCCCAGTCGAGCTTGGAGCGTCATCGTCAGCGTCTGTTGTCAGTCAAGATCAGTACAGGTTTCAACGTCTCTCGGATCAGGTCCCAGCTCAGCACAGCAGCTATGATAAGCGGCTGCCGCCTTGTTGTCGCCATTGGCATCGCCCTCCTCTCGCTGGGAGTGCAGGCCGCTCGAGCAGGTTAGAGGAGTTCTCGGAACGCAAGTCCGCGGGTCTATGCAATGCTAATATTGGTATCCAATTACATGGGTCAGCCTACGCCGACGAGTGCAGCACACCCGATGGCGACCAGGGCCGCTGCATGCCCTTCTCCTCCTGCCGGAACATCGAGGAGCGGCTCCTGGAGAGCCAGAAGGCCGGGCAGAAGGTGCCGCCCGAGTATGCCAGCTATTTGCAGAAGGCAACCTGCGGGGAGTTCAATGGGGTGGTGAGTGAAAAGTTCATAAATTATTTGAAATATTTTAAATTAAATTGAATTAAAATGTTAAAATGTCCTTCCTTGAAAGTGAACTTTTAGTTTCAAAAAATATATATTTAAATTGCAAAACTTGTTAATTAATTATACAAATTTTGAAAATGTCCTTCCGACGTTCCTTCTCAAATGATACCTTTGGGGTACAAAAATGTATATTTAAATTGCAAAGCTTTTATTGCAATACTATTGGCCTTGTTTTTTCAATAATATATTTTCTATAACAAACAACGAGTTTAATTTGCAAGCTGGTGATATTTACATATAGAAAGCATTCGCATTCCATAATGCAGTTCAAAGATTATTGACTTTTCAGCCTTTCAGTATAAAGGCGCGGTTGGCCTTTATTGTAGAATTCAGCTTGCAGGTTAAAATATGCCGAGATCAAGAGAAACACATGTACGTCGGTCAAAGGTATAGGCATAAAAAGGGCCGGTTTTAATTGCCGGCGGAAAAAGCTCGCTTTTCAAGTGACCGCATATTCTTATGCGTTAGTGGGTTGTACAATTTAGTATTTTGTAAGACTTAATACTAAAAGTTAAAATTATGTTGTGTTTCCATCGCAGGTTCATTTCTTTTTCAGGTGTGAACTAGGTATAAGTCTTCAGTTTTTTGTCTTAACTAATTACAAGGGTTTTCATTAGGTAAAGGTATTTCAAGTTTTTGTCTCAATATAATACAAGATGGTTTTAAAATTCTTTTTTGTTGGAATGATATTCCAACATGCTGCCCGCCTTGCCAGGTGGCAATCAATTGGCGATAATGGACTGCAGTTTCGTTAGGCAGCGAATGGCTTCCTTCAGTTGGCCCAACGGCGAAGGCTTGTTGCTGGGACTGCGATGGTAACTCCGTTTTCCACTGCTTTGCTGTCGATTGCGGCTTTCTCGCTCCTTGGTGTGCTGCTGGTCAGGCCTGGTGCGCTTGGCTGACTCCTTTCCCTTTGTCTCCTCGGCTGGTCCATGCAGGATCGTGTGGTGCAGTTCTCCGCACACATGGCAGATGTCTTTGGATCGGCACTGTTGGAGTGTGTGAGAGGATGCCAAGCAGTTGACGCAATAGTGCAAACGTCTTACAGCTCGTCGTTTAGCGATAAAGTCAAGTTTTAGAAACTTTTCGCAGAAACGCAACGGGTGCTTTTGGCGGCACATTTTGCATTGATGTCCCATCTGGTGAGAAAAAACATTATAAGCGACTGATAGAGAAACGATATGATATGTTAGCAGTGGTGTTGGGAGTTGTGTTATGTGTGTGTGTGATTACTGGGAGGAATCGGGTTTAGTTTCGAGGACGATAAGTTTGACGACCGGACGAGTTATTTCACCCGTGCGGGTTTGTAAATCTACGACGCGAATTTGATTATCGGGTCCCGGATGAACCTTGATAACTCTCCCTAGACGCCACTCTGTTGGTGGGCAGGCATCATCCTTAATAATGACGATGTCGTCGAGATCTAAGTTTCGAGAAGGGTACTTCCATTTATAACGACGGTGCAGTTCTGAGAGATATTCATCCCTCCAACGTCTACTCAGTTCTTGATGCATTATTTTGAGTTTCTGCCAGCGATTATGTAGGCCGAGGTTCTCGCCCGGATTGTCGGGAAACACAATTAGGGGGGGCTCCTCGGATAAAATGACCTGGGGTTAAAGGGAGTAGTTGTTCAGCATCTGATTTTAGAGTTGACAGCGGTCTAGAGTTGAGAACCGCTTCTATTTTTGCGAGTAAAGTAGAAAACTCTTCGAAAGTAAAGGCGTGGGATCCTGCTACGCGCTTAAAGTGTTTTTTAAATGATTTTACAGCCGCTTCCCAAAGACCACCCATGTGTGGAGAGTGAGGAGGTATGAATTGCCATTCGAACGAGCGGCTACTAAAAATTGCAGTTATGTGTTCGTTGGCATTTTTGAGAAAGGTTTCCCATGTCTTCGTGAGTTCTCGGCTGGCTCCAAGGAAATTCTTCCCATTATCGGAGACCATCTTGTTGGGAAGTCCCCTGCGACTTACAAAGCGCTCGAAAGTCGCAAGAAAAGCCTTTGTGGACAGTTCAGACACCGATTCCAGATGAACGGCTTTGGTGGAAAAGCATACGAAAACCGCTACGTAACCCTTGAGAATGTGGCTTGATCGAATCGCTGACGTTTTTAAGTCAAAAGGTCCTGCAAAATCAACACCAGTAATTGTGAATGCCGGAGTGAATGTGACTCGATCAGAAGGGAGGGCTGCCATTATCTGATTCGAAGTTCTCTGCTTAAATCGGGTGCAGGTAATACATCTTCGGATGCAGTTTTTGACTTTGTTTGTCAAGCGAGGAATATAGAATTCTTGACGAATGCATCGGAGCATGAGTCTGTTTTCTGCGTGGAGTAAGATTTGGTGTACAAATTTTATGAATAGAGTGCATAGTGCAGAGTTTGGAGGTAAGAGCACTGGGTGGCTCTCGTTATATGGCAGATTTGAATTGACTAGGCGGCTGTTGATGCGAATTTGGCCATCGTTGTCAATAAATGGGTTAAGGGGGCTGAGCGAGCTTTTGGAGGAAATTACCTTGTTTTTTAATAATCGAGTGTATTCCTCTGGGTAATGCATTTTCTGAGCTGCGATAACAAGTCGAGTTTTAGCTAGTTTAGTAAGTGCATTCATGTTGACAGCAGTGCGTTTATGTCGTGGGTGCCAACTTAAAATGCGAGCTGTGGCTCTTAGGGCTCGAGAGTACGAGGTGAATTTTAGACATTGATCCTCGTCGTCCGACTGAGTACAATGAACTAGGACTCGCGATTCTGGGGGAGAACATTCTGGTTTGCATGAGATTGGCCATTTTTCCTTTGGTAAGGATAGCCATTGTGGACCATTCCACCAAAGTGTGGATTCTTTTAGCTCATTTGTTGAGCATCCTCGCGTTCCCAGATCTGCAGGGTTGTCCTTTGACCTGACATGACTCCAGGTCGCATTGGGACTTTCTGCGTGAATGCTTGCTGTGCGGTTTGCGACATATGTTTTCCACGTATGAGGAGGTTTTTCTAACCAGGCAAGAACTATTTCAGAGTCACACCATAACAGAGGACTCAGTTTTTCAAGACGTGTCTCGTGGAGAGCGTGTTTTGCTAATTTAGCGAGCAGTTCTGCGCCACATAGTTCGAGGCGTGGTAAGCTTAGGGTTTTTAAGGGGGCTACTTTACTCTTTGCCAGAAGTAAATGGGATTGAATAACTCCCGAGGGGTATACAGTTCGTATGTATATTGTAGCACAGTACGCCTTTTCGGATGCATCACAGAAACCGTGTAGTTGTACATCCAGATCTGGGTTGTAATGGATCCAGCGAGGGATGTGTATGTGGGTTAGTTCTCGAAGATTTTGGATGAAGGCATTCCATCTATCGATAGTGTTCTGGGAGACATTATCATCCCAGCCGTGATTCTCCAGCCATAGGGATTGAAGCAGTAGCTTTGCTTGAATTATTATTGGCGTTAGCCAGCCTGCCGGGTCGAACAACGTCGAAGCGTAGGATAAAATGCTACGTTTAGATATCTGAGTGGCTGAATTAGGCGGGTTTATGTCGTATGAGAAACAATCATCATTGGCATTCCACTTAATGCCCAATGTGTGGGTAACGCTAGAGTCGGAGACTTTGATAAAATTGTCATTGAATAAGTGATCTCGAGGGATTTCACTGAGCAACGCGTCGTGATTTGCGGTATTTTTCTTGAGCAGAAAACCCGCGGATTGCAATGCCATTCGAATTTCAGATTGGGCTTTCTTGGCACCATCGAGTGTATGGTCGCCGGAAAGGATGTCATCCACATATGTTTCGGAGAGTAAAATTTTTGAGGCTAATGGAAACTCGTGTTCACAGTCTTTGGCTAACTGTTGAAGGGTTCTGATAGCCAGATATGGGGCACAATTAACTCCAAAAGTGACGGTGTTGAGCTCGAAATCTTTCAAAGGACCACTGCCCTCTGGTTGGAAAATAATGCGTTGAAAGGGTCTATCGTCGGGGTGTATAAGAATTTGGCGGTACATCTTCTCAATGTCCCCGTTGAACACATACTTGTACAATCGCCAATTGAGAAGGATTCCAAGTAAATCGGCCTGTAGAGTAGGGCCTTTGTGTAAAACATCGTTAAGCGATCTGCCCGAAGATGTGGATCTGGATGCGTTAAATACGACTCTCAGCTTTGTTGTCGTGCTAGAGGGTTTTACTACTCCATGGTGTGGCAAGTAGTATGAAAAATATTGATTGTTCCGTACAATTTCGAAGGGCTGGGTCTCTGACATGTGACCAAGAGTAATGTATTCTGACAGTACTTTATTATATTGCGACTTAAGAGACTCATTTTTGGATAGAGTGGTTTGCATGCGATGACATTGAGATCTAGCAATGACTCTAGAGCAGCCCAAGTGTTGTGAGGTGGGAAACTCGGATTTAAAAGGGAGACGGACCATATAGCGTCCATCAGGCAGTCGTTGGGTCGTCTCGGCGAATAATTTTTCGCAAATTTGGTCCGAGTGAGAAGTTTGTTTTGGGACGGATATCTCTTCCACTTCCCAAAATTTTTGAAGAAGATTGCCGAGGTTGTCGGAATTATCCTTTACGCAAGTGGAAAATGTGCAAACGTTGGATATGGTAGCCTCGCTTAAAGAGCCACTTATGATCCATCCGAATATGGTGCACTGAGCGAGTAGGTTTTGAGAGAGAGGAGTTCGAATGCCCTCTAGAAAGATTTTAGGGGCAATATCACTTCCAATTATGAGATCAATCTCAGCAGCGGTTGAGAAATTCGGGTCAGCTAAGTCGAGATTAATGAGACAGCTATCTGCGGGTCTGGGAGTACTTATTGCCGGGATCAGATTTGTGAGCTTCTCGAGTACAATCGCATCTACTGAAATTTCTTTAGTTCTGAGGTTGTCTGTGAGTACCAGATGGCATATCTTAGAGGACGAGTTAACAAGTTTGCCTCCCATTCCGGAGATGCTTGTGTAGTGTTTAAGAGCGCGCAGCTTAAGTCTGCGTTGTGACTTTTCTGTGATAAAGGTGCGCTGGGATCCTTGATCGATCAGGGCTCGGAGGCAGAAGAGTTCTCCTCTATGAAGCACCCGGACTAATGCCGTTGGGAGAATAACATTTCGATTTTGAGTGGAATGATGTGCTACAACATAGGCTAACGCCAATAATAATTCAAGCAAAGCTACTGCTTCAATCCCTATGGCTGGAGAATCACGGCTGGGATGATAATGTCTCCCAGAACACCACGATAGATGGAATGATGTGCTACAACATTGGATGGTTGAGCTAATTCTGGGTTTTGTCTTGGTCTCGGAGGAAAATGCAATAAGGAATGGTGGTTTTTGTGGCAAGTATTGCAACTTTTCCCACTTTTACATTCCTTTGCAGTGTGATTATATGAGAGACAGTTAATACAAAGATTAGCCGACTTCGCAAATTGGAAACGATCGTTCGGGCTAAGTTTTCTAAATTGACTGCATTGTCGTAGGTGATGTGATTCCTTACAATGTTTACATGGGTCTGATGCCATCGTGGTGTGTGCTACTGCATTAGTTTTGCTGGATGACTTGAGGGGTGGTTGGTGAAAGGATTTCACAGGCTTAATGGAAGAAAGACGTTCTAGTACCTCTACTCGAATCACTAGAAAATCATTCATTTGCTGCCAAGTCGGCAAATCCTTACGGGAGTCGAGAGATTGTTCCCAAAGGGAGAGCGTCTGATCAGGTAATTTTGATGAGCATAGATGAACCAGCAACGGGTCCCAGTTTTCAGTTTGAACTGTTTGAGCCTTTAGCACTGAAAGACAGTGTGTCACTGTGGACAGAATGCTCTTGATCCCCTCGTCATCTTCCTTATAAACCTTATCCATGGAAAAGAGCCTTTTCAACTGCGTGTCTACTAGCAAACGTTTGTTTTCGAAACGCTTGGACAAGGCGTCCCACGCGGGAGCGAAATTCTCATCGCACAGTAGAAACTGTTTGACGATAGTGCCAGCTTCTCCTCGGGTTTTACTTCTTAAGTGATACAATTTTTGAGCAGCTGTGAGCTTGGGGTGATTGCTATATACAGCAGTAAACATGTCCCTAAAGGCGGGCCAATCTTCGTAGCAACCACTAAAAAGTTCGGTGTCGCAGGGAGGTACCTTAATATGGCATGAATTCATCGATGTGTTAGCAAGGGCTGACGAGTTTGGGTCCCCACTTAAATTAAATTGAGCTTCTCCTTGGATTCCACGACATAGATCTTGTAACAGAGTTTTGACTCTATAAAACTCGTCTTCGCATGTAGAAAAGGTCAAACTGATTTGCTCTTCACTGTCAGCAGACATCTCCTCGTCAGTGGATACCATCAAGCTTCGAAAATCTTGATCTGCTTCAGCAAAAAGAGTGTCCAAACGACGTAATCTCTCAGTAACGAGGGATTCTCTGGTGTCTATTGTGAAGGTGGGAGATTTAGCACAAAACTGCAGCACTCGGCTTGTAGAGAAATCAAAACGTCGTTGGGCAGACATTGTGAAAAATCAGGCAAAAATCGAATGGGATACAACAAATGATATCAGTGATCTGGAGTGTATTTATAAAAACGGGTTGATTTTAGCTCCTAGCGGACAAAGTAGGGTTATGTCGCCTTATGTGTGTAAAAGTGAATAAATGGGGTGCATATAAGCCAAAGAAAAGACAAAGTAGGGTTATGTCTCCTTGTGTATGTAAAGGTGAATAAATGGGGTGCATATAAGCCAAAGAAAAGACAAAGTAGGGTTATGTCTCCTTGTGTATGTAAAGGTGAATAAATGGGGTGCATATAAGCCAAAGAAAAAACAAAGTAGGGTTATGTCTCCTTATGTGTGTAAAGGTGAATAAATGGGGTGCATATAAGCCAAAGAAAAGACAAAGTAGGGTTATGTCTCCTTGTGTATGTAAAGGTGAATAAATGGGGTGCATATAAGCCAAAGAAAAGACAAAGTAGGGTTATGTCTCCTTGTGTATGTAAAGGTGAATAAAAAGTAGTATATAAGCGGACCGATGTACATGCGTAAAGTATGTATGCACTCGCATTAACTTCGATTTATGTGTGTATGTAGACGTGTCAAAAAAAGTAGTATATAAGCGGACCGATGTACATGCGTAAAGTATGTATGCACTCGCATTAACTTCGATTTATGTGTGTATGTAGACGTGTCAAAAAAAGTAGTATATAAGCGGACCGATGTACATGCGTAAAGTATGTATGCACTCGCACTAACTTCGATTTATGTGTGTATGTAGACGTGCAAAAATTTAGTGATAAGCGGACTGACGTACATAAGTATGTGTAAAAGTATGTATGCACTCGCACTAGCTGCGGTTTATGTATGTACATATGCACGTGCGTGCGGTTTTTTCGCGCAAGAAAACCACGGTTCTTATTGAGATGTATGTATGTATGTAGTTATTTGCACAGCACTTTCACTGGGGTATGTATGTATGTATGGGTCTGCATTTATTCGAGAAAACCAATATAATAAGAATTGCACTGAGTATGTATGTATGTATGTGTGGGCATTTATTGTGCAAAAAAAGTTTAAAAAATGATTTCCGAGATAACGCACTGGATGTGTATGTATGTAAGTGTGGGTTTCCGTTTATTTGTGCAAAAGAGAGCTTAAAAGTGGTTGAGTTTAACGTGTCTGTAGGGTCAGCCACGAGGATTACCTTTTTTCACACGCTCTGGGGGCAGCAAAGAAAAAATCCAAAAGAGATGTCCACTTCTTTTGCGCTCGGGCCAGCACAAAAAAACTCTCCAGAAAGATGTCCAGTTCTGTCGACGTCGAAGGACCATGTATAAAGGCGCGGTTGGCCTTTATTGTAGAATTCAGCTTGCAGGTTAAAATATGCCGAGATCAAGAGAAACACATGTACGTCGGTCAAAGGTATAGGCATAAAAAGGGCCGGTTTTAATTGCCGGCGGAAAAAGCTCGCTTTTCAAGTGACCGCATATTCTTATGCGTTAGTGGGTTGTACAATTTAGTATTTTGTAAGACTTAATACTAAAAGTTAAAATTATGTTGTGTTTCCATCGCAGGTTCATTTCTTTTTCAGGTGTGAACTAGGTATAAGTCTTCAGTTTTTTGTCTTAACTAATTACAAGGGTTTTCATTAGGTAAAGGTATTTCAAGTTTTTGTCTCAATATAATACAAGATGGTTTTAAAATTCTTTTTTGTTGGAATGATATTCCAACAGTTGACAATAAGCTAGTGATTTATATTATAATTTTAGTCAGAAGCTTACAAAGCAGTGAAAGAGCCATTTCCGACCCTATAAATCCTATATATTCTTGATCAACATCAACAGGCGAATCTTTCTAGCATACAAAAGCTCTCCGAATTAAATTTGATGGATTTTTGGTTTAGTTATGATCGATTTTTGATTTGATGTCCATGATCCTTTGACAAACAACCAAGTTTGGCTTAGAGAAGTTTCCTTTCCTGTTTTAATGTATATTATTTTTATATTTTGCGTATAGGAATGTATTACAAATAACAGTTATACCAGTTATTATTGAGTGATCTATAATAATTATCCCAATTAAACTAATAATAATTGTATTTATTCCTTGTTTTCCGGCAGCGACATTTCTGCTGTGCCTCCTCCCAGATCCAGCACAATTCCAAGGTGATGAGCCTGTTTAAAGCCGAGAACTTTGACTGCGGCAACTTCGTCAGCCATCGTGTTTCCAATGGATACGAGGTTAAGCTCTCCTCCAGACCCTGGATGGCCCTGCTCCGCTACAACCGTTTTGGGGAGTCGCAGTTCCTTTGTGGCGGGGCCCTAATCTCGGAGAGTAAGTTTTCCTTTATTGGAATAAAAGTTTCAATTTGAGTATTATAACTATTGTAAATTCCAGGATACATTCTAACTGCTGCCCATTGCGTGTCGGGACTCGAGGATGAGCTGTAAGTTCCAAAATCAACGGATAGTATCTAGTTCAAGTGGAGCTAGTTCTCCTAACCACTCCCCCTAATTACTTTTAGCTACGAAATCCGCCTGGGTGAGCACCGGATCTCCACGGAAAAGGACTGCCGCAATCAGGGACGCAAGCCCAAGTGTGCCCCTCCGGTGGTGGATGTGGGCATTGAGAAGCATCTGATCCATGAGCAGTACGATACCCGGCACTACCTGAACGACATTGCCCTCCTGCGTCTGAATCAAAGTGTTACTTTCCAGAGTAAGCCATTGGAGATGGAAGCCCCTGACTATAACTAATGTTATATGCATTTTAATCAGAGCACATCAGTCCCATTTGCCTGCCCGTCACCGACGAGCTGAAACAGAAGGCGGAGGAGATCAATACCTACTTTGTGACCGGCTGGGGCACCACGGAGAACGGCTCCACCTCGGATGTGCTCCTTCAGGCGAATGTGCCCCTACAGCCGCGTACTGCCTGCTCCCAGGCCTATCGTCGGAACGTTCCTCCCTCCCAGCTCTGTGTGGGCGGTGGCGATCTTCAGGATTCATGCAAGGGCGACTCCGGGGGTCCGCTGCAAGCGCCGGTCCCCTACCTGGGACAGTTTGCCCCACGAATGGTGGAGTTCGGCATCGTTAGCCAGGGCGTGGTCACCTGCGGCCAGATCAGTCTGCCGGGCCTGTACACAAATGTGGGAGAGTTTGTCCAGTGGATCACGGACACCATGGCCAGCAATGGCCTCTGAGAGGAGGAGGAGGAGTCATGATTATTGTTATAGTGCGACTTAGTGATTAGTCAAACCCAAAAAAAAAAATGATATGCATATGTGTGAAATTATTTGCTGTTTTTTATGGGGAGTTGTTTTGTAAATCAAGAAAATGAAAGAAGAAAAGGAACCTTTGGCTGTTTAATTTTTTTAAGATTACTAAAATACAATATTTTTTAAATTATACGAATTTCAGATTTATGAAACCCACAATAATTTCCTTGACATCCATGGAACAGATCCTTTTACCTAATTTATATGAAAAACTAAGTCCCATTACTGCAGTTATAAATATCTCTATTATTAGGCTATGGTATATTAAATTATTAATGTCTCTATTATTAGGCTATGATATATTACATTAAATACAGAGACTTATTCAGTTTTCATTCTCGTTTTCCGTCAATTTTCCGTGCTCGTCGTCAATACTGCCTTGCACTGACGTTTCCTTTGGAATGAATCATAAGTAAACATAGTACTCGTGTTGAATTATTATTCAATGGCTTTCGTCTAACAACTATGAATATTAACTATCAGAATTATTGCGCAATGTGACGTACGAAAACAATTGAGATATTACTGAATACAATCGCATTATTAGCTCTCCTTAAGCACTGGGAGATAAGCTTAGCCAGAGTGAGGCTTATGCTTCGAGGGTCTTGTAATTGAGATTATTTATTAATCACAAGGCCAATCTCACAAAGTGATTTCGCGACCTATCCCTACAGGGCGTGACGGGCGTTCTAAACTTGGCAAAAAAAAACCGCAATTTTTGGGGGGTTTTTGTTGGCACGCATCGCACATTTCGATGCTGGGAATTTCAACCGATGGAAATTCCATGTTACACATATCTTAAAGAACGGGTTTCAATCTGGCGCTCAGGTTGCCGTTGCCGCCGCCTGCCAGGGGAATGGGGAACTTGAGATGTTGGAATTAATAATACGAATTAATTGCGAGAAAAAGTACCGATTCTAATGGGTGTTCAGCCCCCACCTGCTCGGGGGACGCGTGCCAGTTCCCGGACAAGGCACTACTTGGACGAGGAGAATTGCAAACGAGAGAGACTCACAGTAAGAGAAAAGTAATAGAGAAACTTTTTGTGTTAATCAGATGGAGAGAGAGAGAGACTTGTTGTGTAAAGAATCTTTGGAAGCTAATCGATCGATTCGCTCGCTTCAGGGGGTTTCCTGGAATTAATCGCCTTTCCCACGCTCCCAGATCCAAAACCGTTTATCTGTGGGTGGGCCTTGACTTTTCCCAGGTGCAAATTCTGAAACGTATCGATCTTTTGTAGAAACACAAATTTATATATTATTTTCTACAAAAGTGTTTCTCCTAAATTGAGCTGAAGCCCTTTTATAGATTTTGCGGACCAAGACTGAGCTGCTGCAGCTTCCTGTTCATCTTGCTGCCTGACACAGCGTACTGCGTCATCAGAGCTCTGATCTCCACATCGAACTGAGGGACGATGACAGAAGGGTTCGTCTTGCTGGAATTGGGCTTGATCTTGACAATTGGCTTAGCCTGGAGATCCTTTGGCTCCTCCTGCTTCCGCTGCTGGGCTCCAGCTTCATTCTTCTTGGAGGATTCGCTTTGGGGGTAGTTTGGTAAACGTGGATTGCGTAGAGTGTAAGGGTTAATCCTCAGTCTGCTTGTTCGGGGATTCCACCTGATGGTGGAGGCGGAGAAGGGCCAGGTCCTCCTACATGGATCTGGCCCCCTCAGAAGGCTATCACCAGCTGCTACCTTGTATTTTTCTTCGCCTGGCTCCACATATTCGATCAGGCGCTGGAAGTTGGGACATGGGCGCCCAACATCGCAAAGTAACTGGGAGAATGTCACTGACATGTTGGGTGCTGGAATTTGTCTTTATTCTAAATAGGCTTAACTGTATTTTTTATACGAATTTTACAATATCTTTATAATGTTCTATGATGTTTAAGGGAGAGTGTTTTCTGTGAATACTTTGTTTAGGCAGAGAGAGTCTCTGGCGTTCATCAGATTTATTCGAGCAAGATTTTAATTTATTATGTTTCTGTGAGCGCGTGCCCTGATTAATGAATATAATAAAAATGACAATAACCATATTTTATTTGTGCTCTTTATGATTACTCAAAAATAGACTCTGAAAATCAGGAAGCTCTGAATTCTTATCAGTTTTAGGTTTGTTCTTGAAATAATTAGGACTTGTTTTGATTTTAAATTTAAGTTCAAATTTTTGTTTTTAGAAATGTTGTTAAAAACATACAAATAAGCTTATCTCATTTAATTTACTGATTTAAAGGTAAATTGCCAGCTAAAAAGAAGATTTTGGCACTCTTTCAGCTTTTTAAACCTTTAAAACTATTATGAATAATTATTAAATGTAATCGTTTAAAAGTCTTTAAGAAACTCAAGCTTAAATAACAACAATATTAATCTACACATTCCCAAGAATAATGTACCCCCCCCCTAGCAAGTATTACTACGTAGACGGCGCACTCTCAACACAGATAGATGTACATATGGTAGCAAATATACCCAATATCTAGCACCATATCTCCGGCTCTGACCCCCGCACGCGAGCTGTCTTACCAAAACCTGTTGCTCCGATCTGGGATTACGCTCGCCGATGTATCATTAATGCCGTGTGGATTGGCGCTTCCCCCGAGAGCACGCGAATCCGAGCTACAAAAGCCCGGCACACGACGACCTGCGGCTCATTCCAAGTTGAGACGTTGAGAGCACGGCTGAGCAAGCGCGTTGAGTTTTGAAATCTCGGATCAGAAACGTGATCTCCACTAGCAACCAGCAACTATAGCACAGCATCGGCAGCCGGTGACTTGAGACGACAACAGGAAGACCATAAATCACAGATCTGACAGGATGGGTTCTCAATCAAATCTGTTGATTACGACGATCCTAAGTTTCGTCATGTTGGAGGCGGTTCTCAGTCGTAAGTTTACATAGCAATTAAAATCAGGAAGCGGTAGCTTTATGAACCAACTTAATTACAGAGAGCTGCTTCACGACGGCGGGCGGAGCGGGTCAGTGCGTCGCACCCAGTGAGTGCCCCTTCGTTCGGAAGCTGTATGATGTCTACGGACGTAATATCCCCCGGCAGATTGGCAACCAGCTGCGACAGATGAGGTGCACTGGGAATAATAATGTAAGTAGATCCCTGTTTAGGCGTATTTGTAAAGGAAATAATTCTTATTTAATATCCAACCCTTTTCTTCAGGACTTTCAAATTTGTTGCCGCAATGAAGCCACTCCCCAGGCCAGCAACACCCTGACGACACAGCCCAAGGTGGTGCGGGCGACTAGCGGCGATATAAACAGCTACAGCAGACAGGGTCTCCAGTACCTGAACTCCTTCACAGACTGTGGCAATAAGGGCAACCCGAAGCTTAGTGGAGGTATAGAGGCCAGACTGGGCGAGTTTCCCTGGATGGCGCTGCTCAAGTACAGGAGCGATGATCAGCGTCCTTTCTTTTGCGGCGGCAGCCTGATCAGCGATCGCCACGTCTTGACCGCCGCCCATTGCATCATCCACCAGCCGGATGTGTAAGTATATACCTTCATGGATTCCCTGAATATCTGATTACTTAGTTTGGTTATTGTCTGCACTTTGTAGACTGGCTGTGCGCTTGGGCGAGCATGATCTGAGCAAGGACGAGGACTGCACCATTTTGGGGGGCTATAAGAGGACTTGCCTGCCGCCCTCCGAGGAGTACGAGGTGCAAAGGGTCCACGTTCATCCCAACTACGTGCATGGCCAGATTAGCTATGACTTGGCCGTCATTCAACTGAAGCAGCAGGTCACACACAAGAGCCACATTCAGCCGGTGTGTCTGCCCATCACCCAAAGCTCGCAGGAGCTGAAATTCAACCAGGACTTCTACATCGCCGGCTGGGGCAAGACGGAAAAGCAGGAGCCCTCCAACACGCTCCAGAAGGCCATCGTGACACGCCAGAGCCTGGACTCGTGCCGCCAGTTCTACAACAAGGGCGAGGTGAACGATAATCACATCTGCGCCACCGGCGAAGACCTCAAGCACACCTGTCCGGGTGACTCCGGAAGTCCGCTGTTCATCAAGCACATCTTCCAGGGGAATTACCGCTTCGTCCAGTACGGCGTGGTCTCCTTTGGGGGTCAGTGGTGCGGCCGGAACGAGCATCAGCCGGGAGTCTTTGCCAATGTCATCAACATGCTGCCCTGGATCACTCAGGTCGTGCAGTAGTTCGGATCGGAGTAAACGTAGACGACACACTATTTATGTTTATAGTCCTAAGAACCATTGCCATAGTTACTCCTAGCGGTTTTCTAAGTTCTTTAAATTATTTTAATATTTTGTAAATTATTTTAATATATCAGATGTAAGCAGCATTAACTAAAGTGAAGTTTGGTCTGTGGTGTGGTGGGGATTACTGAAATTTAGAGTGCTCTTAGGTGATGAATAAGGAAGTTATATTTATATATATATTTAATATTATATACGATTTCTCTCTGCCTGGAAATCAATAATTATTGATTATAATCAAAGCTAATTTTGATTATTTGTTTCAATAAGATTAATCGATTTAGAATTAGTTTATTATTATTTATTATTTGCTTTAGCTTCTTAGATGAGTAAATCTTTGTGATTAAGCTCTTTTTCCAACAATTTTAATAAGTTCTAGTTAAAATATTAAAGCGTAAACTGACTCATAAGAAAGATCCCTGTATTGCTGTAGATTTAAAGGCAACCAGGGGAACCCTATTTGGGCTAGAAACAACAACCTTAATTATTTGTAGTTCCTTACAATCGAGTCATAAATCAATGGATTAAGTCTGAAGCTTAGTTAGAGTCTCAAGTGAGTCATCCAAGCACGTGCTCAGATATTTGAACCCACATCTCTTTGCTGGAAGAAATCAGGCACTGCAAGCATGCTTTCTCAGATGAATCCCATATTGTTATTACCTGATCGATATACATGGGCATTATATGTATTCCATGGCTCTGACTCACCGGTGGCTAAAGTAATGCCATTGGCATGCCATAATTTGCGGTTAGTAGCTGTATTTATTGTCCAGAATATGAGTACATAAGACCAGAACCAGATTTAACAGAGAGATAACATTTAATTTCCATGCGAAATCTTTTTATTACGTTTCAGGGTATTCCCAGATTATTGTTTTTTTTTTATTGTGTATTAATGTAGTACTGACCTATGAACTTGAAATGTCTGCATGTGATTTATGGTGCTTAGAATGACGACAATTTATATAATAATAAATAATCACTAGGCACGTCTGTTTAATATGGGGTTTAGCATTGAACTAAAAAGGAAACCAAATCGGGCTATTTTACTTAATGTGGGCCACACGCCAAGAACAATGGCTAAGATGGCTATCGAAGGTAGCTTTTAGTTGTGGCTAAAATGGATACCAGAAAGGATAACAGAAAGGATATACCTCAGCTGAACATGAGCGAACAGTTGGAATGTTTCTGCTGGATGGTTAACAATGAACTTTAGCCGCGTACAAGGATTGGTTTTAAAGGGGTGAGTTAGTCAGTTTGCTAGATCCTACTTCCTTCCTTTTTTAATTTTATATAAAGTACGCTAGTTAATCTTCCATAAATAAAGTTTACTTTCTTAGTTATACACATATTAATTACCTTAACTCTGTAAAAAACTATTACTTTCATCTAGGATTCTCTATTTGGTGACATTTTACCATTCGCTGCCCTTCTTCGGCAGTGTCTCCATGTCCCTGCTGCACAGCTATGTGTCCTCCTCGGTCTCCTTCAATTTGGACACCATTTAGTAAGTTCCCAAAAAACCCAATTACAAATTATAAAATTAAAATGAATAATTAAATACTGATCAGCTTGAACTGGAACTCCACCTTTCCGGCCATCACCGTCTGCGAGATATACAATGCCGAAAGGATCTGGGACCTTAGTGACTCGCATTTCGGCGTGGAGCACGATATCCACATCGATGACTTCATCTCGGAAATTGTCTTCTACCGCGGCGTTTGCAGCAGCTGCGAGGACTGCGCCAGGCTTCGATGTCCTGCCAACTTTACCATCCTTGTGGAGGGAGTAAGTATTCTGGACTTTGGCTGGGAATACACAATTGATTCACCCTTATCGCCAGTTTCGCACCAAGTGCCATCAGTTGCTGGTGAACTGCACCTACCTCAACGAGCTGTTCGACTGCTGCGACGAGTTCCTGCCGGTGCCCACGGAGTACGGGCTGTGTTACTCCTTCAATTCGCACCAGGCCCGCAAGGTGGCCCAGGTGCAGTTCACTAACAACCGGATGACGGGGCCAGGACACCTGAATTTTCATGCAGCTGCAGACATTCAGTTGTACGTACATGCACCCATCGATGTGCCCTACCAGCTGTCCGAGGGCATGATCCGGGAGACGGTGCTGCTGGGCCACTACAAGGAGCTTATCCTTAACGTTATCGAGGTGCACAATGACGAGAGCGTCCTCGATTTGAGCCTGGAGCAGCGACGGTGCCGGTACGGCCACGAGCATGTGGCGGAGCGGCTGGGCATCTACGAATTCTACAGCTACTCCGGCTGTGTGGTGGAGTGCACCGTCCTGCTGCAGCTGGCCAACTGCAATTGCACCAGCCACTTTATGGCCCTGCCCGGTCAGAATTCCCTGCCGGCCTGCGACTACCGCGGCCTCATCTGTCTCACGCGCATACGGGACAAGATCATGACGGAGCGCAAGTCCTGCGAGTGCATGAGCTCCTGCGAGGAGCCGGAGTACAACATAATCTACAACTCGCCGGATGAGTAGGTGGTTTCTGTCTAAACTGTTCTATTTTAAATCTTATTTCTATACAGAGATGACGAGGCCACGGATGACGTCTCCAAGATCCGCGTGGCTCTGGTGGAGCTGCCAACCCAGCGTTACGTTCGCCGGGTAACCAAGACCATCCTGGATTTTCTGAGTGAGCTACAAGAACCCTAAGCCTTTCCTATAGATAAACCTCTCACTTTGCAGTTTCCCTGGGCGGCCTGGTGGGCCTGTTTTTCAACACCTCCGCCCTGCGTATTGTGGAGGCTATCGTTTTGTGCATCCGTTACAGAAAAACCATCGTGAGTTGGGTCAAGCGAATCTTTGTTGGCACGGTTAAATATTTACAGATCTTGGACCAGTCGAAGTAAATCACATTATTATATTGCTAACTTTAAATCATAGTTGTCTTTCCTGCCTCCTGGGGGAGTACATACATACATATGTGCTGTGGAAGCTCAGCTTCGGGCCATCTTCTGGGCCACATTCTCCGTGGAGCTGTGCCACTGGGGCGGCGTCACAAAGTGCACCAGGGTCTCCAGATAGTTTGGCAGATACATAAAGCTGGAGAATATCACCAGGGTCAGCATGACCAGGAAGAATCCATCTAGGGGACGAGTTGATAATGTGAGATTACTGCTGCCTCGGGGCATTTTGGTGCAATACTCACTGATCAGCTTACGCTCCCAGGGCTCCAGCATGTTTATGCATGTTATCAGTTCGTACTGGCGGTAGACGTGCTTGAAATCTACCATTTTGGGTGATAAAGTCCAATAAAGTCCAAGTCGAAGCCAAGTGCAAGAGGATTGTAAACAAAACCAGATGATTCTAACCAGTGTTGATAAAGTATCCTGACAAATATACTAGAATGGTTGAGAACTTGGATAATTTGATAAGCACAAAAACGGTATATTTCGACGACTGGGCACTCTAAGCATATGTTATTTGTTTTGTTTTGGTTTTCGCGGCATGTTTTAAGCTGAAATTATGGCAAGCCCATCGACATCAAAAACCATGAATTTGTTCAACAATTCCTGCTGGGATATTGCCCAAAGGTCGACCAACAAGATACTGACAGGACACAAAGGCCTTGACACTCACCTCGGAGGGGGAATTAGCCTGGGGCAAATAACAGAGCTAATAGGAACCTCGGGCACTGGAAAAACTCAGCTTTGGTAAGATTTCTATCCTCTACGAAGGCTTTACTGATTAAATTATTAATTATTAACAGCTTACAACTATGCCTGAATGTGCAAATACCCAAAAGTGTCGGGGGACTGGAAGGCAGCGCCTTATTTATAGACACCCGACAGGACTTTCATCCAGAGCGATTATTAGGTGAGTTTTGCCTCAAGCTAACTTTGTGAAATTTCATTATTTACTCACAGGCTTAGCTAAAGACCTGGAAAAAAGGTATAAACGCAGAGCACCCGGCTTTGAGGCCTCTAGAATGCTTAAAAGGGTCCACCATGTGAGGTGTCCCAACGCAGCTCAGCTAATGGCCAGCGTCTTGAGTTGCCACCGGCACCTGCGAGATCATCCAGATGTAATTATTTGCAGTACTTGTTGCTCTTTCTCTTGTAAAGCAATAATTTCTTCTCTTTCCTGGCAGATAAAGTTGATTGTGATCGACTCTCTGGCATTTTCACTGCGCATGCTTGAGGATGGCGCCCAGCGCTTCGAGTTGCTCCTGGAACTCCATGACAGCATGAGGAGATTGCAGCGCCAACACAATGTAGCCGTAAGTATCGAGAAACTCAAACCATTTCCTTTCGCTTCTGGTAATCGTCACGTCTTTCCTGACAGTGGGTCGTCACCAATGTGCTCACGCATCGCTGCAGCAGAAGGGGGCAGAAGTTCCATGTGGTGTCCGCCTTGGGGATCCTGCATTCGCACCTGATCAATGAGCGCATCTGGTTTTCGCAGAGCTGGCAGTGCTACCTGGGCAAGTCATGGAGAATCTGTAGATTAATTAACGCCTGAGGTTTGTTTTCGTTGAGTTTAACTTTTACTTTTGTTAGATTTCGTTTGTTTAATGGGTTATTATCAGTTTTATTAATTAATAGTGTTTCTTAATAAGTAATTCTATAAAAATAAGCAAACTAGGCTCAATTTAGAGCGGCGACCGTATTAAGGCAAAACAGGATCCTCAGTTTCTATGCCATAAATCGCAAATGTAGTCACAACTAGAAGGCGCACACCCAGCCAGCTGTTTGGGGCACTTGCTAAAAGCCTCGACTCCGCAAAGACCAGGCTACGACGATGCTATCGATGGCGCAGCTTTGCAGATTGACAGGCGAGCACTGGGCTGATTTATGCGCGCGGCCCAGGAATGTGGCAAAGTGTAAAAAGTGTTTACACAAACGAACGGCGACACCCAAGCCCGAGAGCCAAAAGCGAAACCAGCCTGAGGCTCTGCAGCTAGCTAAAGGCTTTGATAATACACGGAAAAAAAATGTGGCTTGTCTTTGAGATAGAAAATACATTCACATATATTTAAAACAAAGAAGTATCTGAGTAGATAGAAATGATGTTTATTTTTCTGTTTAAAAGCAATTTAAACAATGTTAATATTTTAGTTTCTTTGAATTTTTTATAACACTCTTACTCTTAATACCATTTTTCTCACCGTGCATCCCAAATCCTAGCTTGGAGCTCCTCCGGGGCAGCAGCTAGTCACGCATATGCAGCGACAACTAATTCAATTTCCACTTGCCAGAAGGAGGCGGCTGTTTAGCCGAGTGTGCACGCCTAATTGGTAATGCGATCGGCTTTATTGAGGCGCTGGAGGCGGTGGAGTCGAGGCCGAAGCCAGCCTGAATCTGCGGCTAGGCCCGTTGCAGTCACAGGCTATCGCTGTCGCTCAGCGCAAATCCCATTACGTGCGATCCGTTTCGAGCCATAAACATGTAACAGCTCCAGCTACAGCTGCAGCAGCGAAGCGATCCCAGATCACCGGTCGGTCGCCTGGCCAGAGTTTCCTGGCTTCCAGCGGCGCAACTTGTCGCTCGAACTTAATTGCCTCGCTTGCGCTTATGACTTTCGTGGGCAATGCATCCTCATCCACATCCTCATCCTCATCTGCTGTCTGCAGCAGCATTAGAAAGTATCTTCAGCCGGCGAAAAGCTATAGCTATCAACATCTTGGAGCTCGCATCGTCTTCGTCTTTGCCTTTGCCGAGTAGTTGCTGGCGCTATTTTCGACACCGCCATAAATTTTCCAACTGCCCTGCAATGCACTGGGTTCCAAAAATTAGAAATAGTCTGAATGCACTGCGAGAAATGAGAGTTATTAAGTTTTTAACAAAATAGAAACATTTTCCTAAGACGCAAGGCTTCGTTTTCTGGTCTTTGCAAAGCAGAACACTGATGGAGCCATTTCCAACCCCATAAACCATATATATTCTTGATCAGCATTAACAAGCGAATCTTTCTAGCTACTTTGGGAAGAAAAATAAATTTTATAATTTTTTTTCAAAATTTGATAAGGGGTTACATCATTAAAATTTTAAAAATTACCAAAAATTTTAATTATTAAAAATTTTTAAATGTAGTATACAGATTTGTTAACCTATTAAAAACTAAGAAGGAAAGGCTTTCCAAATTGAAATTTATGGGTTTTTCGCCAAGTTATGATTGATTTTTGATTCAATGGCATGATCCTATGGCAACCTGCAAAGGTATTCCAATTTCGGCTTGCCGAAGTTAGTTTCCTTTCTTGTTCTTTGTTAGTTTTTAATATTCCAAATATAATATTATATTTTAATTGTAAAGTACTATTTATATAAAATATTTTTAACCGTGTGGCTAATTTACTGAACTGGCAAGTTGTAAGTCCATTTTCCATTTCCCATTTTCCATTTCGTACGGGTTTCAATTAAAACAAAAGGCAAAAAGCAAAAAAAAAAAAAAAAAAGCCAGCAAGCATGGCCTGGCAATTTGGCCACGACCTCGTGCTGCTCCCGCCAGAGTTCAGGCCCAGAGCGGCTAATTCCGCAACGCCGACCGCCCCGATGGCAGCACCGATAGCGAGAGAAAAAACACCAACGGCCAACAACAGCAACGACGATGGCTAAGGCCAGCAGAAGCAGCAAACTCTGGCCGTGAGATAATCAAATGTTGGCCAAAAAGGATTGCACACACACTCTTACCTCGCCCGGCTTATTGTTCTGAGAAATTGTTATTAATTGAGTTGTAACCTGGCCTGCACCTGGCCCAGCTTTCTCCTCCTGGTCTTCGGCTTTGCCGGCGGCCCGGTGGGTGGCCCCGACTCCGCACTCATTTGCCCGATTTAATTTGGTTTGGCCATCAATAAGCTGGGCTCGGAGCCGGAGCCATCTCATTTGCATGCCCGAAATTTATGCTCATCAATTAGCTGATTAATTTATTTGGCGTGGAAGCTCAAAACGCTTGTCTAATTAGATAAATGCGCTACATTAATGTCGCCTCCTGACATTTATAAAGCGTGATTCCTCGGTGATTTTGGCTCTTCCTTCTCCCTCTTCGGAGATGGCTTTTAGGGGGCTGAGCTAATCAATTAATGGCTGCTAAGGGGGCTTAAATGGTTAGGAGGATTAGCTCCTAATGGCTTGGCATTCTAATCAAATTTATCATTTAAATTGTGATTTCTTTTTTACTGGAAAAGAATACACTAAGGAAAATATATTACTGAGGTTCTTTTTAAATTTAATTTCAAACGTAGGTGGTTTCCCCTGCTTTTCCTTTTTATTGATTAAAAAATAAACAAATGAAAATATATTACTAATGTTCTTTTTGATTTTATATTAAACGTACCTTGTTTTCCATGCTGCTTTAGCCTTAGACTTTCTCTCTGACAATTCCCAGGTCTATTAGCCAATCCAACTCCCCGCCTAAATTAGTTTATAATGTTGCTTATAAATGCCACTTGTCGGCCACGACACGGATGTGGCTCTGGATCTTGATCCAGTCGCCAGTTGCAGCGTGTTTCTCAAACGGCAATCTTCCTCCACCAGTGTCCGCCGGTGGCAGGAAAATATTTTAATTAAAACACAAACTAAACGTTTACTGCTAGCGATGTTATCCATAGCATTTCATACAAATAACAACGACACAAGACTAGCTACCAGGCGAAGGCTCCTCGCTGGTGCTGCTGCTGCTGCGTGCAGCAAATACGGCAAACTTTGCATGTAACAGCCTCAACATGTGTCGCACAGCGCCTATTTGAATATATATCAAATCAGTTTCAGATAATTTTCTATAACAGCTCTCGTCGTCGGACGGAACATTTGTACGAGTTCGCTGCCTGAGTCTTTCGTTTCGCGGCCGCCGCTGCGACTGCGAGTGCATATTTTACGCGGCGCATTGTTGTTGCCGGGATTGGGATTGGGATTGGGACTGGACTCGGATTGGGGATTTGAAATTAAGTTGTTTTGCATAAAAGCGCCATAAAAAGGCGCAGCAGCAGGGGCAGCCGGCAGCAATTGTGATTAGAACGACACGACAGGCACGACATGGGACATTTGAGACGCGTCTGTTGCTCCTGCTCCTGCTCCTGCTGCTCCTGGTAGCTCCTTACATATATGGCCAGCTAGCAATTGTCGGTCGCAAAATTGCCGGCTCAACACGAGCGACGTATGTCATCAAATGGCACTGCCATTAGCGGAGATCCTCCTCCTCCAGCCAATGGTAGGCAAATGCTAGGAGCCGACCCTCGAAGCAGCTACGACTATTATCAATTTAAGTTGGCTAATTGGTTTCAAATTTATGGACCTGTATTTGATATTTATGTCGTCTACCAGAGAGGCCTCTGTGCTCTGTGTGTGCCCCGCAATTTCGCCTGTCTGCCTGCCCAGAGACCTCTACTCTGGTCCGACTCCGATCCGGGCCGATCCGATCCGCGGCTCTCGCTCTGCCTTGGCATGCTGCAAACAACGTAATTGGCTTTCAATTTGCTGCAAATTGTTGCAACAGCCACGACAGCGCGCCGCAAAGAGCAACGGCAACAGGGAAACATATTTAGATTATAGACGGATAAAGTTTATGTACATTCTGTTCTCGCCGTGGCCACTTTTGAGCTCGAGGACCGGCCTCTGCTTCTGCTTTGGCTCCAGCTCCAGCTTCGGCTTCCCCGTCTTCATCCACCATAATTCCAATGAGTTATATGCCCATCATGTGCGCTCCTTGGCCCTTCAAAGTCGAAAACGTATCGCGCGTTAATTAAAAAAACAGCAACAACTACCGAAACATCAGCGTAGAGGTTGGCTGCTAAAGGAAAAAAATAAAAAACAAGAAAATAATGCAGAAAAAAGCGCCAAAAATGCCGCTAAAGTTTCGCTCGGAAAAGGGCGGCTACCCAAAGACTCAGGCCTGGGTTAGCACTGTTCAATAACTAAATAAAACACTTGGACCGCCATGCACTCAGAGAATATATATTCATTTAATTTAACTAAGAAATTTGAAAAATAATATTTAAATAAATTGAAGTACAATTTGTAGATAAACATGGTGTATTTGGTTCGAGTCGCTCATTTAAGAATCTCATAGATACTGTTATTTTTCCTTTGAGATATATATATTCTCAAACGAATCTTTAAACTTAATTTAAGCCTCTTAATATCAAAAATAACTTTGTTTTTTCCAGTGCTTTTACGAATATAAGAGAACAAGAGGCCGCGCACAATCAAGCGAAAATTCCTGGCATTTTCTGCTTCATTAACAACACACACTCATATATGTATGTAGCCACAGAGAACTTGGCCATTTCGTTTTGTTTCGAGCCGAGTTTAACCCGCTGACGAAATTTACGCACGTTGGGGTATCCGCTCCTGCTCCTGCTCTTCCTCCCCCTCCTCCACATTGGGCCTTGATGATCCGCTGGAGCCGACGCTGGAGCTTAGTTCGGTTCGACCGGCTCTTTTTTGGTATTTTAATTAGAAACCGAACAACGTAAAATGCATTGCTCGTCGATTTCGCTTTCTTTCCTCCTCCGTAGGCCTTCTGATCTGCTTCGATTCCGATTTGCTGGTGCGTCCTCCGGTCTTGCATTTGGTTTTCACATTCAATTAGCGCATATTTCAAATGCGATCCCAGGTCCGGGCATATTTCTCTTCGGTCCGAATGACAGGAAATGCTGTCGATCGAAGACAAAAGTCCTACAACGGTCCTGAGCAACGTTATGCCAAAGGAATCTCTCTTGGGGGTTGTTAAAAATATAAAATAAAGTCTAAATGTATTTATAATTCTATTTTTAAAGTCTATTAAAATGTATCTGCCTTTGAACGAGGGTAAAGTTCTGAAGAGATCAAATCTATTTTAAATAGAATATAACCATAAAGTTAAATAAATATTTTAAATTTATCATATTAATTTATTTTTCTAAAATGTCCTCAAGCATACTTACTTTTCCTAAACTCAAATCCTTAACCCAGAAAAACAACCAAACATTTATTTTATCTTTTACTATCTTTATTGATATTCGCTTTATTGCTGCTAGATCAAAGTTAAAATAATAAATAAATATTACTAAACACACACACACGCGTACGTACATATATAATACAATACAAAATCCGGTGCTTTAACTTAGCTACCTAAACCTACATATAACCTACTTAGATCGGTCGTAAGCCCTAGATTATTGCGTAAGATTGCAAACAACTTTTAAAGTCTAGTGCGTTGCTAAATGCTTAGGCCTAGGATTCTATCTATAGACAAAATACAATAACGGTAACTGCTAATTTACAGTATTTACAGCTTAAGCTTATTGTTATTTTTATTATTAATTGTTTAGAGCGCGCCTAGGTTGAGAACTATGTACAGCTTGCTATTTATTGTATTTTTTTTTTATGTTTTCATTTAGTATTTAAGAGGAAGTTAAATGCGCGTTTGGGTTACACTAAATATCACACTGTGTAGGATGTTGCTTAGCGAAGAGAAGAGTTCGGAATTAAACTAGCTAAAACTTAAGTCATTAAAACAAAAATGAAGGGACTCCACACAGGTGCTTATGAAGGGCTGTGATTTAATTAAATAAATACTTTCTTGGCAACGGGTTAAATAAAATAAAATAGAAAAAACAAAGTCATAAACAAAGGTTGATCAGGGATTAAATGGAAATTCAAATTACCAAAATCTGTGAAATTTTCTAGCAACTTTATATCGGATTATATACCCTGTTATTCCCCATGTGAAGCCCCCCTATATCTAAATCCGATTTATACTTTAACATAACGCTACTAATGCACTTGGAAATCGCGCCCGTGCTGTGGCAATTGGAACTTTGAGCTGTGGCTGTGGGCGGCTGCTTGGTTGCTTGATTGTTTGCTGGATTGATTGATTGCTTGCCTGGATTGGTAGGTGAGATCACGGCTAAACCATCACAGTGGTGGCCAGGACATCGGCGCCCACCTCGTCACCCGCCGTGGGCGGCAGGGACTTGCAGTTGATGGAGCGCTTGCCAAAGTCCTTTCGCGGACTGTCCAGCGAGCCCACCGTGTTCTTCCGCATATCCGAGTTTTGGGTCTTGTGCAACAGGATCTGGGAGCTGCGCTTGTGCGCCGTTGCCTGCTTCAGGCTCGCACTGGAGTCCAGTTCCCGCTCGAAGTCGCAGGGCGGGAACAGCGGCTGGGAGCGATGCAGGGCCGAGCCACTGGCCGCAGAGGCGGCCAACTCGGGCGAGGGATTCAGACTCAGCTCCATGCCGGTGGCTGCTCTCAAGGAGCTGGTGCTGCCTTTCAGAGGATTCGTGTAGCGGCGTAGATTCTCCTCGTTCTGCAGGTTATTGGATTTCTCCTCCTCGTGCCGTAGGGCGTCCAAGGAGGGCGTCAGGTTCATGCCCGAGCTGCTGCGATAGGCTAGCCGCTGCTTCCAGTAGAGGCTGATGAACACTGAGAAGCCCACCAGGACAATGAACACGCCGCACAGGACTCCAATCAGCAGGCTGTGTCGCGACCCATCCGTCACACTGGCCGTCTCCAGCTTCACCTCCACAATGGAGGTGAGAGCCGCCAGCTGGAGCTGCTGCATCTCGAGCTCCTTGCGCCGCTGGATGCCGTTCAGCTGCCGGGAGCTGAGCAGCTCGCCCAAGAGTCGCACCGCTACCGGCAACTGGGGATCATTCAGTCTGCTGGAGGACTGAAACATGAGAGAGGAGATTATCAGGTTAAAGGAGTTATTAACTAATTAAAAATGTATTTATTATCCAAATTAAGCTTCTTAAATTTGTAAAAATTTCACAAAAAAAAAAACTTACCACAGTCAGTTCAACGGTATCATTGGTGCCCGTCTTGAGATCGCACAGCACCATGAGCATTCCCTGCTGTTCCTCCTGCCCCCCGGTACTTCCCGGCTCCTTGACCAACTGGGCGGCAAGCAAAACGCGCACCAGCGAGCACAGACCCTCCACAGAGGCCCCTCTGCCCACCCGTTCCAGAGCCAAAAGGATGGTGAGCCGGGCACAGTTCTCGTTGACCACCGCCTGGTTGGGCCAGCAGCTGGCCTGGGCCGGTAGACTGGGCGGAGCTACACGACGTGATGGCTCCAAGGCACGGCAATCCCCGCGCAGGCTGCAGGGCGGCGAGAGGCAGGTCTCGCTTAGCGCCGGGACACACACCTCGTGCTGCTTGCAGACGCCGCCGCCGGAGAGATTCGACGACTTGGACAGGGGATCCAGCAGCTTGTAGCAGTTGGGCAGTCCGCACCAGAGATTCGTGCACTTGGAGGTGCCATTCTCACAGACACAGGAATTGCAGTGCTCGTCGTCGTCCCTTCGGCCGGTCAAGGCGATGTCCAGCCAGTTCTGGCTCTGGTTAAGAGCTGTGTAAGGGGAGATGGTGTTGCTGACGTTCAGGCAGGCGGACTTGGGATCGGAGAGCACTACACATAAGGGATTAAAATGGTTTTTAAGGATAAGTAATTAGGAAATTTAAGGGTAAATGTTACGATAAATAATAAATATTTAATATAAATACTAATCACTTACATATCTCGCATCGCACGCCATGACGTCCTGGTGGACAGATGCAGCTATAACCTCCAATTCCATCGATGCAGGTGGCTCCGCCCTGACAGGGCTGGGGCGAGCACTCATTGACATTGATGCGGCAGTCCGGCCCGGAGAATCCCTGGGCGCACACGCAGCGAAACCAGCCGGCGCCCGACTCACAGGTGCCGCCATTGTGGCACGGCTGCCCGCGGCACTGGTCAATGGCCTCGGCGCAGAAGAGGCCCGTCCAGCCGGGAGCACAGCGGCAGTGCGGTTGCAAGGCCTTGTCCGGGGCCCCAGGCATGCAGGTTCCGCCATTCTGGCACTGGCCGGCATAGCAGCCAGTGGCGCGCTCCGAGCAACGCTTACCTGGGGAAAAATTAAAGAAAAGACACATAAAAATTATATTTATTGCCGAAATCAAGTTAAGCCCACACTTTAGACAAATATTTGGCTTTTAAATCGTTTAAAACCGCCAGGGTAATATTTTGTTTGCCAAAAAAACGAAAGACTTAGGCAACAAACTAGCTGGGAGTGTGGGATTTTTTTTATATTATTATTTGTAGGGGAGCCGTGACCGCTGCTGGCCCGGCTTGAACTAATTGAAAAGTAAAAGTGTGCTGACATAGATCGATGTGGTATCTCCGTATCGCCTTTATATATATCTCTGAAGCTGTATCTAACGTAAACCCCGGCCGAATCTGTGACAAAAAAGCGAAACGCGTGAAATATGCAAATCGCAAATTAAAAACAAACATAAATCATGGCAAAAGGTTCGGCTTAGCCCCCCTCGAAGCTGCCACATGTGGCAAATACGTTCGCCGATATTTCTCTGCTTTTTTATGTCTGTGAGCTTGTGAGTTTTTTGTGGCTCAGCCGCGCATTCGCTTCAATTTGAGGCCGTAATGACTGCCGACTTTCAATGTTCAAATAAATGCGACCGACCCGATCGTTATTTCTGTGCGCTCGACGAGTACCAGCATGTGAGAGCGTAGCGCTGCTCTTAACGTGGCCAACACACACGGCTCTTGGCCGTCTCGCGCCCATTTAAAGCCCCCCAAGCGTTGATAATGCGCCCCGTCAGCCAGCTTACAGCAGGTTTTTGTGAATGCCCTTGCCAAGGAGTTGTGGCCACTCTTTGGCGTAGTTTGAAATTTGTATTAAGGAATTTGAAAAAAGTATTAAAATGTTGTATATAAATTCTATAAGATGTTTTCTTAGCACTCTTTAGCCTTTACAAAATGGAAAAGAGAAGTTGGTAAATATAGTTTTTTTCGGATTTCAAGACTAGGGTATTGATCCTTCGACTTTCTTATATTTTCTGTTGCCTGCACTTGTTGCATTGCTCTTTTCTGACGTTCACTTTGGCGGCCGCTTAAAGCGCACCCCAGACTTAACTCTACTTGGCTCGGCTCAGTTCGTCTCAGTTGGGACTCATCTCATGCCAACCCAAGTCATCCGACTCACCTGTCCAGCCCGACATGCACTCGCATGTAAAGTCGCCGTCGCCGTCAAGGCAAATTCCCCCGTTTCGACAAGGATTCGGCGAGCATTCGTTGAGATCTGCGGAAAGTTAATGAGTTTGCTGAGTCGGTCAGGGGAGGATCCGGCAGTCGGCAGTCGGGACTACTCACTGTGCTCGCAGAAGGTGCCGGTGTGGCCCACATGGCACTTGCAGAAGGTGCCCGCGTCGCCCGTCTCGCAGCTGCCTTGCCCGCTGCAGGGCAAAGCGCTCGGCGTTGTCATCGTGCTGGCCACGGAGGAGGAGGAGGCGGAACTCGAAGTGGAAGTCGTGGCTGAGGACGCTGGCCCGGTTGCCGCCAAAGTGACATTCGCGAAGCAGCCCTCTGTTTGGGGGGAGACATGATTAGGCTTATTATTGCAGGATTGCACTGGGAGAAACAATTATAAACTAAAGTCTAAACCTATTTCTTGGAGTAAAAAAGAAACTGTCTCTTCGGCTCCCAGTGTAGGCTATAGGAATCCTTCAGACGACAAAAAGCTGCCATTGATGAGCTTAATGACGTCTTCATTGGCTGGAGATCGGTTCCCAGGGCTACTTGGAGGTCTGGGGTATGAACTTACCATTGCAGGGCGGCTGGGAGCAGAGCGGACGCTGCTGCTCGCACAGCTTGCCAGCGCGATCAGGCGGGCAATAGCAGTAGAAGCTGCCGGGAGTGTTGTGGCAACTGCCCTGGATGCAGGGCGACGAGGCGCAGTGGTTCTTGGCCTCCTCGCACAGGGATCCCGAGTAGCCCAGCGGGCAGATGCAGTTGAACTTGCCCACCATGTCCTGGCACTCGCCCCCATTGCGGCAGGGCGAGGTGGCGCACTCATCGATGTCCGTCTCGCAGTCGCGTCCCGTATAGCCGGGGGCACAGGCACACTTGTAGTCGTTGACCAGGTCAATGCAGCTGGCTCCGTTGCGGCATTGGCCCACGCAGTCGTCCAGGTTCTCGGCGCAAGTGGGTCCGCCCCAGCCCTCCAGGCAGACGCAGGCAAAGGAGCCCGGCTGGTTGCGGCACTCCCGAGCATTGATGCAGGGTCCAATAGCCGAGGCCGAGGACTCCACGGCGCGGGTCAGCGCCGCCAGGAGCTCGGAGCTGCTCAGATTTCCGCCAATAATAGCACTGGCCGTAGTGGTCAGCAGGGAGTTGGGCGGCAGGCCCGGAGTATGTGGAGCCTCGCACTCGTTGAAGTCCTCCTCGCAGACGCCGCCGCGCCACTCCGGCGGACACTCGCAGCGAAAGCCCCCGATTAAGTCCACGCAAGTGCCACCATGCTCGCAGGGACCGCCGGCGCACTCGTCGATGTCTGGGGAAGAGAGAAGCAGGAAATTCAAGCAGATTGTTAAGTGCCATCCGCGGATAAATATAAACACTGGGCGAAAATTCTATAGAGAATATGGGGGGTGTTTTGCTTTTAATTTAATTTCTAAATTAAGTAGTACCAAAAATAAAAACCAAAAATGTAAGAAAAGTTTGTGAATTTTTAAACCAAAGCTTAGAAAATCTGCCTCTAAGTTCAGTGACCACTCAATATTTGTTTTTTCTAAGCCTTTTCTCCCCATTTATTTAATATCGATTAAGAACTTTATTTCCCCCAGTGAATGTGTTGACTTTAACTGTTGGCTGAGCTCTCAAGCAGCTCGGGCAGGTGGCTCTTGGCCAAGTCATTGACCTAGCTGGCGGATCGGTGGTTGTGTTGTGGTGGCTTCAGTCTGTAGTCTTTAGGCTGCGTGCCTGGCTTATCGCTTGCCAGAGATCTGCGAGGAGTCTCTGCTTCCTTCTCAAAGCTTGTCGCCCGTTTCCTCATCTCTCGGGCAGCACGCAACTTATTTGTTTGCTTTTTGCCAAAAAGGAAGCTGATAAGGATTTGCACCCCGCAAATATGCAGCTCTGACCCTTTGGCTTGGCCCATTAGCCGTCAATAAGGGTCAGATTATATCGCAGGACTGCAGGAAATTTTAGGGAGACTTAAGGCTTAATTAAGCTGTTGGAGATTCAATTATTTTCAGGGGAAATCTTCAAGGCAACGGTATTTTATAATATTTATAATTTAATTTTAAACTTTATAATTGAATTTTAAAGGAGAAACTACAAGGGAAATAATATAATGAAATTAAGCTGGGGATGGTGAAATTTATAAATTTAAAGGAGTTCTTCGTACACATTGCTGAATATCAATATTTTAAAAATAGTTTGGGTAATAATATAGGTATTATAATATTAACACTTTTGTAAAGCTGTAAAATTTATATTTTTAGAATGATAAAAATAGCTTTGGTTCCTGTTTCTGTATTTGTGCTTTAATATTAATGGAATTAAAATATTTATCATCTATTTTGTAAACTATTTCTTATATTACTATGAATACTATTAATATTAATGACAAAACTCATTTATTTAAGATATAAAAGATCCCCTAATTGCTCGTAAAAATGCAAATCCTTCAGCCTCAACCTCAGTTTCAGTTTCGTTTTTTGGGGAATTGGCAACTCAATTAGCTTACGGCTTATTGCAAATAGTTTCTGGTGAATGTGTCTGTCGGTCGTGCTCCAATTGGAATGCAAAACCGAGCCGAAAAGGCGAACCGAATTTGCTTGGACCACCGTGGCCACAACCATCATACCTCGAAATAATCAAAAATAACAGCCATAGCCTGTGCGTGCTACGTTTCATTTCATTTCATTTCATTTCGCTACACTCAAATGCGTGTGTGCTCAATTGCATGATCGAGAGGCAACACCAAGGCACACCACCCAGGCACACACACACACTGAGCCCAGCTCAGCACTTGGCCAACAAAACATAACTGGCCAAGAGCTGCGGCCAGGCTGTGGCTAATCGCGTGCTGCAGAATAAAATTAAATCGAAAAACTCACTTATTTCGCATGTCGGTCCCGTCCATCCGGCCGCACAGCCGCAAGTGAAGCCGGCGGCCGGCGGCGTCATCAGTGGCTGCTGCTGCTGGGGCATCAGGCCCACTGCCCCTCGTCCCAGGCTCATGCTGCTACCATTCCGCGCCGCGTCCTCCTTGAGGCGCAGGTGCTCCAGGCTGCGGATTGATTCGCGGCGGCTTATCGGCTTGCCCAGGGAGCCCATGCCGCGCATGATGCGGTACACGGGCGGTCGCGTAGTGTTCATTGGCTGCAAGGAGAGACCAGGTACACTCGTCAAAAATTGCGTAGGGAAGTCAGGGAAATTACATTTAAAATTTTAAAATATTTAAATTATAAAGCACATCAGCAGAAGGTAAATTTATTTATTGCAATCAGAGCTTCAAATAATTAAAAAAAAGTTATATAGATACTATTTTGCAAGTGCAAACTAGATGCACCCCAGATGGTGGGGCCTTCGAGCGTATTAAATTATTTTATGGCACTGCGAAGAGGTGCATAAATCGCGGGATTTCAGGGACTAACCTTGAGCGTGCATGTGCCGCCGTTGCGGCAGGGCTGCGTGGCGCACGGGTGCTCCACAATCTCGCACTGCTCGCCCGAGAGGCCCTCGGCGCATGTGCAGCGGTACTGGTCCGGGGCGGTGTTCTCGCAGGTGCCGCCGTGCTTGCAGGGTTCATGGGTGCCGCAGTAATTTAAATCTGTCCAGAGCGAAACTATGATTATCGATTCCCAATCCCAGCCGTAATTGCGTGGGGTCACCTACCTTGATCGCACAGTATGCCGCCCCAGTTGGTGTCACAGACGCACTTCCAGGCGCTGCCATTGCAGGATCCATGCTTGCAGCCGGGATAGACCATGCACTCGCTGCACAGGGGACCTCGCCAGCCGGGTCTGCATCTGGAATGGGGGGAATGGAGGGAATGGGGTGATGAGTTTTGCAAATGGATAAATGAAGCATGGAGGACCCGGGGTTAGATCGAAAGTTGAAGGATTCCTGGGAACACATGGCTGGAGAAGAAGATGAGTCGATACCACTGATTACATAATGGAGCATATCTACAGGTGGGCCTTGGGAAAGATGGAAAATGGAGCATAGAAGACCCCAAACGAAAGGCGAACTTGAACTTAAAATTAATTTTAAGCAGATGTTATTTGCAGCTTGGGAAAATATTTTCCATTAAAGAAAAGGCTACTGCTAAGCTTAAGACTTCGAGACAGAATAAAGTATATAAAAAATAAATAAAATATATAGCATAAAATAACACAACCCTCGTGAAGGTTATCTGTATCTTGGGAAAACATTCTCCCATTATTCATCCATCGATCTCGACTGTTTCTGCCGTTTCTTTACATTTCAATTTGGCCTGGGAACGCTCTGACTGGGCTCTGGGTATCGATCGTATGGCCAAACCACCGAATTGGGTCACTCTGAACTTTGGCCTTGATGCATCAAATGCTAAAGTGGCAGTGCAGCTTGCAGACTTGCCGATTTTATCGCCGCAACACGCCAGAGTGCAGCGGGATCAAAGTTAGCCAGGTCCAGGTCCAGGTCCGAGTTATCTCCCGGCGAGGTGCTAACTCTACAAGCTCCAAGTGATAGTCGTTCGCTCCGTTGGTTATTTATGATTTCATTAAAACGGCAGCCCGTCCAGGCTCTATCTGGCGGCGGATCAGTGGCCAACAGCTCCAACTCCAGCTTCAGCTTCAGCTCCAACTCCAGCTCCAACTCCAGCTACAGCAACGTGCAAACAGCAAAAGTAATTTTTCTTCTGGCTTATAATTGTTGCAACGGAGCGGAAATCTACAGACTTTTGATGTTTTCTAGGCCACGCTAATTATTGCTATTTAGAATCAGGACGAGAGATGGCAATGGTGCTGTGAGGCTGGGGCTGGCTGATGGAGAGCCCCATGATGCCGTCGAGAAATGCAATCATGGCCGCCGGCTCACGTATTCTGTGTTACGCTGCAACATTAACAACGGCAGCAACAACTGCAGCAACTATTGCCGCGGCAACTGCTGCAACAGGAACAACCGAAGCGCAAACGTTTTTTCGTGCTCTGTTGGGATGCACTTCAATAAATTCTGGTTGCTTGTTAGTACTTTAAATTTGTAAAATTTTATGATTTTTTTTCGAAAGAAAAATATATGAAGAAGTCTAATTTTTATCCTTTTACTTTGCCTTCCACATCTATTTTATTATCTTTTAATTTTAGATATCTCTCCAACTCTAACATCCCCCAATTTTTGCTTGGTGTAGCTAAGCTCTTGCTGTGCCAGTCAGTCGCCAGTCCACGTTGCCAGCGTCTGTGCATGACCGTTCCAAAGGGGCGGACCGAGAAGCCCCCCATCCAGGAAGGTGGTGGTGGAGAAGTCAGAGCAGTTGAAGCTGGAGCTTGGTGAAAGAGGAGCGGAGTAGGAGGAGGACCGAGCCAGGAGGAGGTCTTCTGGCCGTGATCAGCTTTTGGCCATCGTGCGGGCGTTTGATTAGCCTGCTCCGCTGGCCGGGAATCGTATTGGCTCTGGCACTTGATTGCCGATTATACGGCTGGTTACAACTTTATAGCTCTCCGGGGTTATCTCCCAAATGGGCAGTTACCGAGTGCGAACAATTTAATAAGGAATGCGGCGGGGACGACGGCGATTGATTGGGGAAGCAGCGTGATTAGATCAGGGAAGGGAGGCGCATTCCATATTATAGAGAAGTAACTAACCTTTTTATTTGAATGACTAAATAGAGAGAGTCTAGATGGGAATTAAATTTTTTGAAGTAAATAAGCGTATTCTTCTTTAAATTTATTGGGGAAATCTTATAAATTCAGCTAGATGATTCCCTTAAATCCCATTTGCATCCCAAGATGGTCATGTGAGAGAAACTCTGCCAACAATTTCACACATTTAGCCTTACAAAAATGATAACAAAAAAACTAAACCAGAGGTAGTAGAAAAACCCGCCTTATGTGTGAGCTATAGAACCCATTTTCCCGCCTCTGATCACAAACGAAAAAAAAAAGACAGAAAACCACTCTTGGCCATTATAACTGTGCGAGTGGAGTGGCTCTCTGTGACTTGGCCTGTCAATGGTGATCCGTGGTCTCCATGGACTCCCTAGTCTTTGGGGCCAGAGCCATTAAGCGCGGCCCCAAACTCCGCGCTGGACACATGCAAAAAGTGTCATAATCACATCGTTAAATGGGGTGGCAGGGGGTCGTAATTACACAGAGGTTGGGGATAAAAAGATGGCAAAACGGCGAAAAACAGGTAACCCGAGATACACCGAAAGGAAATTATGAAAATAATGCTTTCTAAAATGTAGAAAATGTGAAATTCTGGTCTTCTTAACAGCTTTTTTGAGTTTAGTCAGTGAAGGAGTTATTTCCGACTCTATAAACCATATATATTCATGATCAGCATCACCAGGGGAGTCTTTTTAGCCATTTCGGAAAGCAACTTTTTTTTTTTTTTTTTCATAAATTTTAAAAGGGGTTACACGTTAAAATTTTAAAAAATTGCCAAAAATTTTGATTTTTAAAAATTATAAATTTAATATGTTGATCTGTTAACCTATTAAAAACTAACATAAAAAAGCTTTCCGAATTGAATTTGATCAGTTTTTGGCTTAGTTATGATCGATTTTTGAATCTAAGCCAAGGACCCTATGGCGAACTTCAAGGGTATTCCCATTTCGGCTTTCCGAAGTTAGTTCGCTTTCTTGATTTAGTTTGAAATCAGTCTTTATAAGATTAACTAATGTTTGGTTGTAATAAATCATAAAATATATATTTAATTATATCATATAAAGAGATATTTCTCCAGGTGTACTTACTCGCATTCACCGGGTCGATCGCACTTGCCATGGACGGGATCGCAGCCGGTCTTGCAGATGGCCTCCTCACAGTTGACGCCCTGCCAGCCGTTGAGGCAGAGCTTCTGACCCTCGGAGCCGCAGGCGTAGTGACCGAACTGATCGTCGCGCGGCCGGCAGAAGGTCGTGCAGGTCGTGTTGTAGTAGGTAACGGCGCATTGCACCCGGACGCGGTAGGTGATCCGGGCGTTGCGGCCGATGTGGTCCAGCGTCTTCCACTCCGGCGCTGGCAGTATCACGCCCGAGTATGATGTTTCCTCAATTAACCTCTCCGCATCTGCATTTTGGAGTCGTCGGATTGGGATTCGGAGTCGGAGACGCGAGCGTGGCATGACAATTGTTGTGGATGTTGTCGCGGACGTAGTCGAAGTTGGATTGGGATTCGTGGTTGGTGGCATCAACGTTGGCGTTCCAATGGATCAGGACCAGGATCATAGGGGTGAGTGGAAAAGCGGGAGAGTGGGCAGAAGGAGAATTTAGTCAGTTGTTTGGCACCATTTCGAGTGCTTAAGGGTACACTTGGAGAATAAGTTTGGATTGAAATAGCGTCATAAATCTATATATATTTTTTTATTTTGTTAAATCAATTTGTAAATGTAAAATGTAAATTTAAGAACAAAATAATAAATAATAGTACTGTTTATTAAATTTTTACTTCACTGACTTCTGTAACCCATTTAGTAGCTCTAATTTCTCCCAAGTGTACCTCCTGAGCACCTCTTTGTCTTCTTTGGCTAATTAAGCCAAATGCCTTGGCTCTGGCAAACAATAACGAGCGACATGCTGCTAGCAACTTGCAACTTGCAACAAGGGGCTGGTTGGCTAGTAACGAGCGCCAGTCGGCAATTGCCACCGCACTTACCTGGATAGGATGTGTTGTACATATCCAACGCCTGCAGTATCAGCGTAAACGACTTCTGTAATTGAACGTTGAGAAGAGGAGGGAAAAGTGGCATTTAGTTCGGGATTTCGGTGCTTTTTTCAGGCCTCTGACGACGCTAATGGACAGTTTAATCTCAAGCTGCTCGCCATGGATGCAAATGAAGACAACGCAGACAGGCAAACCAGCAAACCAAGAAACAAACAAACAAACAAATAAACAAACGAACATCGAAGCAACAAACGAACAAAGCGATCAGACAACAAACAAAAGCGAGGCAGAGCTAAACACTTTAATTTCACGCAGGAAGAGCGCGGACTTTCTAAACAGACTCTGGCCATGTCCATGTCCGCCTCCGCGTCCGAGTTCACGTCTACGTCCACGTCCAAGTCCATGGCATTGCAATTGGCCAAAAAAAAAAGCGAAAACAAAACACAGGCCAGACACAAGTCTCTTTTAGTTTTTAGATTTGTTTTGGTCTTTATTACCCTGGCCAATAAGGGTGTTATAACTTAAGCCAGGAGTTTGTGCGAAATATCAGAGAATTCTTGATCATTTATTTATTAAAACTGACAGAGAGGCATTTAAAATATATTATATATTTATTTTTATTTTAAAAAATCTCTAGATTTGTAAAAAAAACCTTTAAGCGTATTTTAGCTTTCGGTTTGCAACAAAATTTTTCCAGATTTCTTATTTAAACTCCTCTTTTGCATGGAGCCTATAAACAAAACTGAAGATTCGCTGTTTGTAGAAGATTTCTCGTTGGGCCTGGAAAGCAATTAAACGATGACGTTGTCTGGATGCCGCCGCCGCCGCTTGATGCCAGGAAATGCTCATTTAGCAGTGGGAGGCGGCGGCGGCCGAGTGGAGCGGGGATTCCCCTGTAATTGCCCTGGCGACGCGACACTAAATCAGTCCAAAGCAGACATTGGCTAATTGCAGTCGACCAGCAATGGCAACAACAACTTGACATACTTTGCGAAATCCACCCATCCACCGCCTCGAATTTCCATTCAATTTTCTGTCATATGCCTTGTTCCGGACTCGCTTTGAAATCAGCGGAAGTATATCAATTGAAAATGGCGTTGAATTTGCTTTTGGATTTCAATGAAAACTAGAGAGATGGCAGACTGACACGAGCCAATGGGCGGGAGGTCTGAACTAGATTGTTAAAGAGAAACGATACTGCGGAAATAATAATGGAAACCTAAATTTATTCAAGTCTATTTTCTCCCACAACCTTTTTCAATCAAATCAAGTAGCTTTTAGCGAGACAATTGCCGAGTTTGTGAATTGGCCACCGAAGTGTGTTTACACACAGAGTCAAGAACCTCGCCTTCATCAATGGTTGCGGTTACCTTAGGAGGAGCGTCTCTCTTTTGGAAAACAATAACTTTTCGTGGAGGTAGCTAAATGGATCAAAAGCCCACGGAGCACACACAAAACACACATTTTATTTGGGCAGTCATTCATGTGGAGTCTCGAGCCGGAAAGTGGAACAGGTAGGTCTCCCGGGCCCCAAGAAGAGGCTCCGCAAATTCCACTCGAGATCGCTCAATGGCCGCGCACGCGCACTCCAGATCATCAACTTGGATGTGGAAAATATTGTCAAGTGAAATTCGGTTGTACACAGTTTTGGGAATGTTTCCGAGACGAGGGCCTTTATGGGGCTGGTGTTTGACAGTTACACTGAAGGCCCGCTGAGGTTATGATGTATGGTGTGTGTACTTGAGGCCTTAAGTATTTCCTAAGTCATGTTTATAAGTCTCAACATGCCATTCACTCAATCAGTCGATGTCGGGGATGGAGCCGAAGAAGTCATTCAATAAAAAGTGGGACAATTGCGACCAGATCGGCGCAGCAGCTCTTTTTACTTGATTTTTGTCTTTCGCTTAAGTTTTGTCTGCTGTTTCTTATTTTTCGAAGATTTTTCATGAGTTTGTGAAAGGCTTCTCGAGGGTTCCTCAACTCGGCAACCTGACTGACTGTCTGCTGGCAAATATTACGAAGGCAGTATGCAGAATTTGTCGGGGTTTTCGGGCTCTGAACACTTGCAGAAAAATATCTTAAAAAGTCTCTGAATTTTGATATTTTATATTTACTTTACTACTTTAAACAATTCGTTCTTAGATTTTAATACTTGTCTATTCTAACAGATATCGTTTCTATAATAACCATAATTAGTAGGATTTTATTTTAAAACATTAAAATAAAGATCCCTAACCATTTTCCTTTCTTTTTTCCTTAAATTCCCTGAGAGTCACTATTTAAATATCCAGAATAAAATATTTCAACTGCAGTCACAGTCACAGGTCTTGGATCACATGTGTGCCTCTGCTTGTGCCTGGGCAAAAAGCAAGAAAAAAAAAGGAAAAGCACAAGCAAAGGCAAAAGATTAAAGCGAAACCAAAGCGAAGCGTAACGTATCGCCATCGCCATCGGCCGAGCGACAAGCGCGACAAGGTAATGTTCCCACGAAACAGGTTGTCCGCACTTCAGGCCACGACTCGAGTCGGACTCGGATTCGGGGGAGTGGTGGGTACGGCAAGGTACGGAATGGTGTGGAATGGTGGGCCGTGGACCGGCATGGGTGGAGGCAGCAAGGAGACCCAAAACCCAAGCCGAGACTCTGACGCATGCTGCTCCCCCGCCGCCGCTGCCGCCACCACACCTCGTCGTCATCGATGGTCTTCGATGGCTGCCTAATGTAAGCGACGGCGCAGGCGCATGCCGACGTCAGCGTCGACAGAGAATGCACTCGAAAAATATTTAAAATGAAATATATACTTATAGATATTCCTTTATCGTAATACTGAATATGATAACAGAAGATTAGCCATGCTTCCTTCAAGGTATTTTTTATAAAACGTTTGTAATTAATTTATATATTTTTAGAAACAGTTTAGAATTTCCTGTTCTTATACATTTTTTTTTTTGCAAGTGTGCCCTGTTACCAATCGCACTCGTATTAGTTTGGACACCGACCTGGTCGAGGCGTGTAATTGTTAGCCAAGTTAGCGTTGGAACACCAGCGAAACAGAGGCAACGACAACCAGAACACCAGCCGTACATAACAACCGAATAAAAAATAAAACAAAAACAAAAATAAGAGAGAAATAACACAAATAAGAAAAACTTTAATTCAATTCTGCGACTACACCCAGTCAGGTTACATTTTTACCTTAATCGAGTTAGGAGCACCGCAGACCAGGCCACGTTTATTTTGTGTTTCGCTTTTTTTCTCGGTCACTCCGCATGTGTTTTTTATTCCCTCCCAGTTTGGCAGTCATAAGCCCGCATTATGCTCACTTAATTAACCGAAAGCCGCTTAGGAGGTGGAAAATATACGAGCATAAAACATGAAACACAATTTTTAATTGCTTTTTTTCGGGCTACTGCCGCCCGAAGAATCTCCGCCGCCGAAGAAGGGCTCGGGATCGGGCTCAGACAGCGGCATGAGTAAGCCGCTTTTGGGTGCTATAGACTTTTTCACGCCAGATGATTTTGAGGAAGATTGGAAGATGAGGCAACGTTGAACCCACGCTGGAATTTTTGGCCACAGGAAGTGACGAGGAGCAAGAGAAAACCCAACACTTGATGGCATTCCTTGTGTAGGAAACGAAAACCCAGCTTTTTTAATTTTAAATTAAATTCCTACATTGAGAAATGAATTTTCCTACTTATATCTTGAAATGCCTGTGGAAATGCCCATATATACGTTATACTTTCTTATCAATCCGGCACGAGCTCAGCGCTCATTCACATTTCTGTTGCCGGCTCGACCTTATCGCGCCGAGTTCAGCTTCAGCCCTCTGAGCTCTCCATGCGGAACCGAGAGCCAGTCACTGGCTCTATCTAGACTTGCCAGAAACTCGCATATTACGACCAAAATGAGAGCTAAAGTAAGGCCAGCTCGTGCCAAAAGCGTGCTTGGGTGATGATGGTATAAAATGTGGCTTCGGGTGGTCAGGGAACTCTGGGAACACTGCACTTACCGTCCAGCGAAACGTAAAGGGCAGCACAATGGCACCCACTCCCGGATCGCTGAGCACGAAACTGGAGCCGCCGAGTATCTTGGTGGTGGAGTTGCCGAATGAGCAGCCCGTGGATATGCTGGCACCCTGCTCCGTGGTCTGGTACTCCTTCAGGCACAGCCGGAATGCTGTTGTGCATGGTGAGCAGCCTGCAAGAGCGAGGGAATTTCGGTTATCATTCATATTTCATATGTAGTCATGCCAGAGAGATTGCATAATACTTGTTCGGGTTTATTACATATACACAAAGCATTAGTGCAAAAACTGATAGCGAAAAAAGAACCTTGACCGTCTCTTTTAGAGGAAGATAAGAGTTATAAGCGGACTCTGAGAAATTCCATAGAAAAGTGTAAGATAAAGTTGTGAGTTTAATTGACAGAAAAGTTAAAGGGTTCGGATAGATGGGAAATATAATGCTTTTGAGGGGGAATATATACTTCTTAAATAATAAAATAGAAAAGTTTAAAAGAATATTTTCTACAAGCTGGAGATAATGCCAAACTTAAATTGCATAAAGCTATTGAATTTTACTTTCTCGATCATTGAAAAAAACCCGTAAACAATATGTCGTAATAATTTTCACTTTCCATTTTAAAGTAGCTTTATTTTATTATAGACCTTTTTATAGGCACCAACTTTCCTTCTAGAGAGGGCCTTCCGAATCGTGTTAATATTTAAAGCCTGTCATTAACTTACCCATCGTCTTGGTGGCCCTTAATTCCGATGGCATGCCGCAGCAATAGCCGCTCAGCAGATGGCTGTTGGTGTTTGAGATTTCTAATATTTCCAGCTCGAAGTTGCCGGCTGCGGATATCTGTGGAAAGGAGGAGGAAACGGGGTTATCGATACAGAAAGTACATTGCGATTCGTTGGCAGACAAGCGACCAGATCTCAAATCGATCAAATCAATCACGGCTCGTAACGAAGTTCCCCACAAAATAAAAAGAGCGATCTTCCCCCACCAAGTCGCATTCCTCCTACCTAAGCCCGATCCCCGTACCATTCCCATTCCCATTCCCAATCCCATTCCCGTTCCCAACGAATAATATGCTCAACACTTTATGGATCTGATCGTTCGCCGGGCTGTAAAAGCTAATAAGCCACCTAGGGCGCTCTGATTGGGCTGCGGTAGAGGTTTTAATTAAAAACACAAAAATAGATGGATCGATACACGGGGGAACACCGAAATAAACCGAAAGAAAGGAGCTGGCTCGCTCGCCCGGGACTTGATAAATCTAACAGCAAATGAAACACGAAAATAATGAGAAATATATTTTCCACGGGCACAAAGCGCGCTCCTAACTATACCGTTTCGGCTCACTTAATCAAACGAGATATCCAGCGGCTTTCGTATAATTTAGAATGCCTTTGTGAGCCAGCTGGAGAGCTGCAGGCTCGGGAGCCGGCAATCTGGAATCTGTGCTCCGGAGTGCCCACAAATCAAGAGCCTATCGATAGGAGCATTTGCCATAAAATTAATAACACATTAGATCGCCGTTCGGCCCACTGATAAATGGCGCATAAAGTTTAACTATTCTCCGCCAAATCGCTTATCATAACTTAGCTGGAGAGAGTCCGCAGAAGAAGTCCCCATCGTCTGCACCATCAACATTGTATTTTAAAGGTTCATTACCAGTTCTATCCTGGAGAGAAGGAGCTCCAGCTCCTGCCGACTTCTTCGCGGAAATATGCTAATGAAAACTCTTAGCCGCCGACTCCTGGCTTTATGGTTTCATATTTCAGCAAATTTATTGTCATTGGCTCTGGTAGCTGGCAGTGTTGATAAGTTTATTAGAAATAAATTGCAATTTAGCCTTCTGGCCTAACGGTGCTGCACCTGCTTCGACTTCTGCTAGAAAATCCACTAAAAACTGAGAGGAAAAACCAACAAACTAAAGCCAAAACCACATGCATTGTCGACCATTGCCATAGATCAATCAAATGCTGGTCTCTCGGCCAGTTTCTCTTGGCGTTTTCTCGAGATTTCCTTTTGTTTGACTTGGGATGGGATTCTCGATCGGGAAACCTGTTTTCGAGGCTGCTTACTTATTTATTTATCACATATCTTCGGCTCTTGGGTTCTTTGGCTGCAGCTGCTCTGGCGCTGCATCCGCTAATATTCCATACAAACTTTGACGTAATCCCCCGCCTGTCCCTCGATTAGATAAACCCGATGAAATGCTTAAGGAAATTAGTGCCGCGGCGCCAACTTAACGAAGCCGACACACAGACCCTCCGAGGGAGTTAATGTGAAATTAAGTTTTAATTAAGCCGCTTCGTGGGAGCTCCTTTCGTAATAATGCCGCTTTTGCCTTTTTCGCAGTCCGTTTAATACGCAGCTTATGATCAATAAATGTCAGATATCCTCCACGTCCTCAACTGGGTTAATTTCAGCGGAGAGACCATGTGAACTGAGGCAGTGCGATCGGTGGCTGAGATTTCCCTGGAAGTGAACCATAAATCGACAACGGACGCTACAAAATATTTAACTTTTTATTTACTTCATTAACAACTAAATAGTTGCATCCATTTAGGCTGCCGGCCACTTTTATCGCCTCGAATAACCTAAATCAATGCAAACCCCGGTCCGGCCTGGGTCCAAGCCAGATAAATGTGTGTAATCAATTTGATGGCTCCACCGGGGTCTTGGAACTGCTGGGATTCTCTCGCTGTGGATTCTAATGTCTGCCCCTTGAGTTGGCCGGCGTATTAATCAAATTGTTGTTTGGTTCCCCCTCCTCCGAGAACTCCCTCTAACTGCTCCGCGCAGCGATTAATTTTTATGTATTTTTGAACCGTTGGCTACCTCTCCGCCTGTTTAATTGCCGCTCGAGGCATCTCTTCCCGGTCCCCAGGTCCCAGCCTTCCCATCTCCATCTCTTTTCTGGCATCTCAATACATGTTTAGGCACTTTGTGTAACACTTTATGACGGGGCTACACCCCGAAAACTAGCTCTGGAAGAAGTCCCAAAACTCCCGACTACCGTTGCCATGTGGGAACGATTTCGTGGAGATGGTTTCTGGAGATATGTGGGATCACTTTCAAGGGGGCTACGAGGATGAGATCCTATTAAGCCTGGTACGGGTGAGCGTATGCTTTTTATAAATAACTTGGTAAACGAAAGCGACTTTATTTAAATACCAGTTTAATGTTTAGGAGTTGGAAAATATTTTGACTAAGTAAAGCCATCAAATTACCAGCAAATTGATGTCCAATTAAAAATAAAAGGTTTGGCTTTAAGACCCTTAATCTTCTGAAGGAAATGAATGATTAAAGTCATATAATAAAGTGGGTTGACATCTATGAAAAATAGGTCTATAGCTTCTTAAAATTTTTTTATTTAAAGGTTTTAAATTTGAAGCTATAATCCAGCAAGAGAGGAAAAAATAAATAAACAGTTTTTAAAATTAGATAAAAAGCCCTAATCATTTTGTTATCATTTAATAAAAATGATTATGATTTCTTAAGTTCTCTTCTTAACCTTAAAAACAGTTTAAATATATTTATATTAAGCCAAATATAAACTTAAGTTCAAGTTAAAATAATCGAAGCTTGCATTAATATTTTTATATGTAATGGATTCCCAGAACTCTACTAATATTTGATTTACTATCCTAAAAAACGCAGCCTGCGTAAAAAGATCCCATTAAACTTCACTCTCCCGGCTGCAAAAGTTGATAAATCACTCAGAAATAAACCCAAAATCATCATTATTTACGTCCCCCATCGAAGTTTGTTGGCCCTCAGCCTTCGCCAATTCTCATGGGTTGAATCAACTTGAGTATATTTTCTACCTCACATTTTTGCTCTTTATTTTGTGGGAAGACACTACACCCGCATGTATTTGGATCTGGGGCTTTTTTGCCTTTTCTTAAATTGGTTTTCGCTTACCTTATGGACTAACAGTATTAAAATTAAAGCAATTAAGTTGCAGGCAGACTTTAATGATCGACAATCGACGAGCGGGGACGGCGTCCGGAGGAGAGTCCGGGGCCTCAGGCGCTGTCTCTTTGTCGCCGCCTTTGTAGACATTCTCAGGCTGTCTTCGGATGCTGTCTCTTCGCCAGATTCCAACGTTGATTTTCGCCGAAAATGTTTCCGAAACATTGTGTACATTCTGTGGGCGTTGCGATGATGCTGGTGGGTGCTCTGCGATCTCCTCTAGATCTGTCTGGGGTTTCTGTCGTTGTTTTGGGTTCACTTTGGGCTAGGTTCGGTGGTCAAATGATCTCGCAGCGATCTTTAATTAGCCCATGTATGCAGATTTCTGGCCCTTGTTTAATTCGTTTTTCTCGGGGGAAGGCACTCGCTGTATTCCGGTTTCTCTATCATTTTTTCTCCACTCTGTAACGGCCTCCGTTCGTATTTGTTTTTTGTTTCTGTGTTTTGTTTTCGTTAATGTTGTTATCACAAAATTTATTTATTACTTATAAGGGGCTTTGTTTTGCCTTGTTTTTCGCACTTAACACTTCCACTTGATAGGCGATTTGTAGCTGTAACAATTGTCGAACGAAATGGAATTGAAAACCGGGCTGTGGAAATCTATTTCATCTATTTCGCCAGTGCCATCATCAACACTAATTGACACGCAGTGGCAAACCGCAGTAGCAACAAGTGGCAGCAACCGCAGAGGCATTTACTTTGCCCCACCGCAAAGGAAGAGGCAGCAAAGGCAAAAGCAAATGCAAATGCAATTCAATTTATGTTAATTTAACGCCGTTGCAGTGGCAGCTCTGCCATGGAGCCGAAGCCATGTGTCTTTGGGCCGCAGCAAACAATTTGCATCTTGTGCGCATATTAATTTACAGATATTTTCACTCCGGCAAACATTACTCATTCCCCCGGTCCACGACCGGGGTGTTAATTGTCCATTTAATTAAGTAATTTGCTTGGAGCATGCCTCCTCCTTGCCGAGCGGAAGTCGTTGACTTTGAATCGAGACTCAGATGTTGCATGCGGCATGGACCGGAAGTGGCTGCTGCGGCCGGCCACTGCGGCCTGGCTTCCCCCCTGAAGCTTTCACCCCCAAAAGGGAGATGTGCTGCGCTCTTTTTGCAATTTGCAAAATTACATATTTATTCCCGGGAGAGACCTCGAACTGCGTGATGCCCTATCATCTCTGTGCTATTTCCCTAGACTTGCTAAGCTCAGATTTATCAGTTAATTGTATGAGCAGGAGAACTCTTGAGTAAAATGATCTGAATGAGCTGTGGACCATGATAATGCCGGGTTTATGCTACCAAACTTATGGCCAAACGATTGGATGGATGTGTGTGGCAGAGCATGGCGCATTTCTAGTGCTTTTTCCATTCGAAACCATTAATCCACGTTCCCTTACTGATTTCATTATACTATCTCCGTTCTCTCTCTTCGGGCACTGAACAAAAATCAACAAACAAATTCAAATTTATTTTTAAACTAGTCGTTAGACTCAAAATATTTTATTCATTTTGTATTATTATTATTTGATATATTTATCATTTATTTATTTAAGAGTCTGGAATACATTTTGTTAATTTCTAGGCTTCTCCTATTCCCCTTAAAAGTTCATACTTTTCTATTAAATATTTCAAAATATATCAGAAAATATATAACATTTATAATTTCTTCATTTATTAAATTCCTTGAATTTATACTAACTGACAAATATTTACTTTGAAGGTAAAATTCACTTTTTGACTCTTAAAAAAACCTTTAAGAAAGTCTTATGAAAAATGATGTTACTATTATTTTTAATATTCTGAATATTATTCACTGACGAAAGACTATAGTAATATAGCTTTGTATTTAAATATATCTTTATCTCTTTTACTATTCTAACATTTTCTTGCAGTGCCCTGCTTATTATTATTATTTTTTATTATCATCGTGCATTATGGGCTAGTTGGCTGTTCTCGCTCTCCCTTTCTCCACGTTCTTTCACTCCGAATGTTTCAATTCCACTTCGTAGCTTTTGATTTGTGTGTGTTATCAATGGAGGCACAGTCACTCTCTGCTGATTCTTCGGGGGATCATACATGTACATACATATATACGTGTATATTCGCATATTCACATTGTTTGCACTTTTACTTTTCCACTTGGATTAAACACAATTTTTCTTTGAAGGCATTGTATGTCGATGTATTTATTTACGAGCATTGTACGAGTATTTAATTGAAAGGTATTTCCGTTTTTCTTCGCTCACACGATCTGGCCGAGGAAATTAAGCACACAATGTCGGCTGATTGTTGATCTTTTCATTTGCTGTGTTGGGCTGTGTACTCTTTCTCCATCAACTTGATCATTTGTTGTAATCAGCAAACGATTAACATTTAACACTTTCACAATTCGCTTTTAAGTGGGGGCAGGAGGAGGAGGCACTGGGCACTAGGCACTATAATCCAGTTTGGGGAGGAGGAAGAGGTCACACTCGTACCGTGGCTGGGAATTGTGTACTCATCACCGCTCGAAGCACGGCTCACGACTGAACGAACGCCGAACACCGAATCCTGCGGCACTTCCAGCCCTCGAGCAGCATCCACGGGGCGGAGCAAGTCACGCGAGAGACGGCCGACAAAAATCGTGGTGGTGGTGGCTTAAGAGAGCCCCGGAAACTGTGACTGCGATTGCTACTGCTACGGTGACTGCGGGTGCGACTTTCGACTGCGACTTCCGCTGGGTGCTGCGTACGCTTCAGGCTTCGACTAACGACTGATTGCCGCTGGGCACAAAAGTGGTGGCCGCGATCCCGGACCGAGCTCTCGCGCGGATAGCTGCTCTCTCTTCGGGGGGAACAGACCGGTTCTGTGCTCTTCGAGCGGCGCTCTTTAGCCGGCCGCTGATTGGTCGCACGCCGTGCCTTATTGCCGCCGGGTCCGGAATCTGTCTCGGATCGGATCGGATCGGACCACGACTTGTTAATGGAGTTGCTGGGGAGTCGGGCCGGCTTCTGCTTCTGCTTCGGCTGCCGCTGCTGCTGCACGCATTTTGGCCCGAAGCTATGCTGCCGTTTTTTACGATTCCAACTTAATTATGTTTATAAGTTCAGTCCAGTGCATTCTGTTCTCCGATTCCGGATCTAGGCCGTAGCAGTAGCTTTTTATGGGCAATGCCAATGCCCCTGGGGGGACTGACAATTAACACCTGGAACCGGGCGAAGACAGACGCAAACCTGAAACTGTAACTGGAGTTGGGCCCAAACTCCCACAACGATTTTGGGTGGGAACCCGACTTTAGCTAGCCAATTATCAACTCCCGGAGACAGAGCGGCGACTTCCATCCAATTATCCGCGAGCCGAAAGTGTATAAATCAAATTTAAATGCAACTGGCCCTATCAGCGTGGCCAAAACAAAAGACTTAAGCAACAAACTTGGCAATTACATTCGGCCAACAAGCCGACAAGCCGCGGCAGCATCTTTGTTGTTGCTGTTGCTGTTGTTGTTAGCGGCTCATATTTCTTGAGGCGCATATCTAAATATCGAATCATGTTGCTGATTTGCAGCAGCTCCATTGTTGCAGCCTCAGCATCAGCACCAGCAACAGCAGCAGCAACAACAACAGGCAATGCAGTTGCTTTTTGTCTGCCCACATCCAGAGAAAAAAAAACAAATCTAAAAAGGCCAGCAATTGTCCAAAAATGTTGGCCTTAAAATGTCCGGCGAGAAACCTATGTGCGAGTATATCATAAATGGCTTTAAAACCATTTTTTGGACTTCCTGTAAAGTGATTTTTAACCTTAAATGGAAAGAAAGTTAATATAAATATTTTTATACCCTTGCAGGGTATTATAATTTCAGTCAGAAGTTTGCAACGCAGTGAAGGAGACCTTTCCGACCCTATAAAGTATATATATTCTTGATCAGCATTAACATTTTTTAATATACTTAAAATTTTATATTCCTTAGAAAATTTTACAAGCTTTTCTTAGTTCTCATTTCCCCTTTTTTCCCAAAGTGCATCTGGAGCTGCAACAACACATAGTAAATCTCATTGTGCCGTTGTGACATGACTCTTGTTCGACAATAGATAAAACAAATTGACTTGGTGTGTGCCCAAAATGTCTTCTCTAGGCTCTCTGCTTCGAGTGGTAGTATCTGGGTCTCCGTCCTCCTCTTTTGGTGGGCGTACTGGGCAGCATCGTCGGAAGACCGCTCCGGCTCCTTTGTCATCTTTTCTTATATTTCTTTGGTTTTTTTTTTTTTTTTTTTGCTTGTGCCTGTGACTGGAAAAGCTGCACTACAATGCCCATTATCAAGGTACATATCTGCGACAAGAGACCCCAGAGCGGCAATTGTGCGGCTGCAACGGCTGCTGCCTCGGCCACGTTGTCCAAATATGTTGCAAGTTGGTGTTATTCTTCACACGGCATCATAAATTTCACGTATAATTGACGCTTTCAGTTATATCAAAATTGGCTAAAAGCCAGAGCAGCGGCGGCTCTTGGCTGTGGCTTTGCGTTGGTGGCCAGCTCCGAGCTCTCCTCTGGGTCTCCCCAGAGAAATACATTGTCTCCGTCTTGATTTCGGCTAATAGCAGACAGCGGGCTTACCTGGCTCTTACAGGTGTCTTTTGTGTTGTGCGTTGGCGAACTCTCTCTCTGCCTCGGACACTTGTTCGCTTTTAATGGCATTTCTTTGTCGGAATTAGCTTTCGGAACAGCTGCACAAGTGGAGCATGGCAGTGGCATAAAATGAAACATATTGAGTAATCAAAATCGCCAGAAAATCCACCCTCACGGGCCGAGTTCATTAAACAAACAGGCAAATATGTTGGCAATTTCAACCAGTTGGTTTTACTCCACTAAACATTTTTATGACAGATTTTTCAAGTGTTTCCTTTCCGCCTCCTCGTTGTTGTTTTGCTTTTTTTTATTATTCAGTTTATTTTTCACTTCGGTGGCGGTTTGTGGTTAGTGGTTAGTGGTTTCGCCGCCCTTAGCCGAACGTTGCCTTAGGTTAGTTGTTTATGAACGCTTTATTGGCACTGCCGGCTGCAGGCTGGGTCAAGAGATTTATGAGCCATATTTTTAGCAAGAACTTACGGGTACTTGAAGAAGTTCTACGAGACAGAAAACAGTGGGAATTGGGACTGTAACTGGTAGAGTTTCCCCTTCAAATCTGCCAAGTGCTGACCGTTTTTGCTTTAAAGATCTGCGAATATTATCCTAAATGGCACTTGGGTCTATTAGGCTAAGTGCTTTGGGAGATTGAAATTATTAATGCAGTTGTGTGATATGTAAGGAAATTGTTTAAATATTTGCAGATTTTTAGCCTTATTTATTCAATAGATTAAATACCTAAAAAAAATATTAAATATTAAAGGTATTTGTAAGGTTAAAACTTAAAAACCCCTTAAGAAATCTAGTTTTTATCACTTCTCTTAGGTTAACAAAACGGCAACTGAGAACCCAACCTTATGTCATCACATTCGCAGCTTGAATCTAAACCCTAGACCACTTTTCAGCTGTTTGAACAACAGATTTATTCACTGCCCATCTATCCAACCATCCATCAATGTGGCCACCTGACTTAACCCCGCAATTTGCACCAGCTCTTACCCCGACAACAAAAAATAATAATACAAAATCCAGGCACTTGTGAACCTCACACATGTTCGCCCATCAACCTCAGAGGAGGGACTCCGATATATATCCCTGGCATGCCTCATTTAACCGGAAATCCACCCCTAAACAAAATCCAATTGCAAAATCAGTAAGGCAAACATCGCAACGAATTATGACACGAACAAAGGCGATTAATTAGCGCAGATTCGAGGGGTGGAAAGATACTTTACAGGGAGATACAAAGATATATACAGATCGGGTAGCCAAAGGGTGGGTTTACGCTTCGATTTGCGCCGACGCGACGCGAGCGAGTAATCGAGATGGTTGCGCGTGCTCATGTCTTCGAGACAGGGCCGGGCGGCAGGGGGTTATGACCAAGTGCACAGCCTCCTCATCGAGCCCATACTTTAACCCATACACGTGCATATGTCATTTTTATAGCGCTATACGTGTTTGCCATAAATCCATAACAATATGACAAGTACAAGTACTTTAGCGGCAGCCTCTCTCATGTGCAACATGTTTGCACGTTCACGCCACCGCCAGTAGAGACTGCAGACGGTACAGTAAAGACGCCCTGGACCGACTGCAGCAGCACCCAGCTTCCATCTCCATCTCGGATTTCCACTGGGACACCTTGCCTTCCACGGCGCGATTGCGATCGCTTTGCGGTCAGGATGATCTTCATGCCTTGCTCCTGATGTGTGCGCGCTGCGGCTGCTATGTTACTTTAGTGCACTGTAAGAAATCCTTGCCAATTCCCAATTGATTCTTTCTGCAAATTGTTAAGCAACGCATAATTATGAAGGGCCTTTTATGCATACTGTAAATCAAACTAATTTAATTCATTTAGAAATCAAAATGTTCTTTCCTATCTCTATATTCTAGATTTAAAAGAATTTCTCGCTGTGCAATAGGAATATTTCGCGCTACTCGCCGCCGCCTGACATGATTTACATGAAGTGAAGACGCACGTTTTTATTACATTTTCGTGGCTGTAAGTGCACCCAAGGCAGGCCAGCAGCCTTAGCCACCTAGGCAACCACCTCGCGGACAACAACCCAACCCAACCCCCAGCCACCACCGCATAATCAGCGGTTTGCCTTTGATTTGCAGCAAATGTTACGCCGAAAAGGCAACAGCTGTGCAAGAGGAGGGTTCAGCCCGCGAATCATTTATCATTTATTTTCGCTGTTACAATTTTCAAGTGTACACCGCACAGCCCAACTTGCCCGCAATTAAACAAACAATAAAACCTTTTCGAGGAGGATCTGGATCGGATCAACTGCCTCATCAACATCGTCGCCGGGGTTGGACACTTGTCACTGTCCGGATAAATGTCGCCCTTCGCGGTGCCGCGTTCCCAGCTTAAGTCGACGTTTTAATTTTAATTTCTACTCGTCGTGGGTTTCTGGAAAATTGAATACTTTATTCATGGGGAAGATCGTAATCCTCAAATGAGATTTGCTTTAGAGTAATCGCTTCATTTATGGAGGATTCCCGGGCTTATTAAGCTTCATTAGAGAGAGCGATATGTGACTAGGCCCGAAAGGGTTATGTTTACATAGGAAAGGCATTTGTTACCTGCCTAGGTGGTCCCTGCCCAGGTTGCCCCCTCCCCCCCGAAGTCGATTCCCAGACCGAGCCGAGAAATTTCAACTAATTAAAATACCTATAAACTCTGCATGTTGAGTCCTGTTTGGCGTTTCATTGGAAATTTTAAAACCGAATCGTTGAATCGTCGAATCGCCGGGATAAGCAACACGCCAACCCAACAAATGACCGAAAATCGAAAAAAAAAACCGAGAACCGAAAACGAGAGGCCCTTCGAACCTTCGGCCAAAGATGAATGGTTGTTGGCCCTCGGCAGCAGGGATGCCCACCTCGGTCCCCCCTGTCCCAGGCAAGAGCCTAACTGACAGCAAACAGAAATCGACAGCCGTGCGGTGTTTACCACTCCAACAAGATCCGAAAAAAATCGACAGAAAAAACTAAACAAAAATAAAAACAAAAACAAAAACCGGACAGAAACGAAAATTCACTTCTGATCTCGTATTGGGAATGGAATGGAAGCTCTGGCCATCAGCTCTCGGCTCAGCTCTCCCAGTCGAAATGGACAGCTGAAAAGGAGGC